GGTGAAGAGAGGGGTGGAGCTGTCAACTGATCACCATCTGGTGGTGAGTTGGGTCCGGGGGTGGGGGAAGACTCTGGACAGACCCGGTAAGCCCAAACAGGTAGTGCGGGTGAACTGGGAACATCTGGAGGAGGCCCCTGTCCGTGAGATCTTCAACTCAAACCTCCGGCGGAGTTCTTCTGGCATCCTTGTGGAGGTTGGGGACATTGAACATGAGTGAGCAATGTTCAAAGCCTCTATTGTCGGAGCTGCTGCCCCGGATAAGTGGATGAAGATGGATGTATGGATGGATGGATTCTGGGTGTTTTGAATTGCTGAAAGGTTATCTAGTATTGTGGAGCAACTTGGCTTTCGACAAGGACAAGTCACTGCTAAAGGTGATCGTTCAAATGTCACGTGTCACATACAGTAGGAAACTGTTGCTACAAGTAGGACACAACACTGATACATGTCTCATGCTTCTGTGTAATTCCTAATTCTGGATCTGGAAAGTGTCAAAGTAGTTTTTTCAGGCATTTTCAGATTTTTCTATTCCTTTGTCGGAGCCTTATTTATTTATTTTCCTTTACAGACTTTCCAGTTCTCTGGTCTCTTTTCCCTCCATGTGGCATTTTGAAGTAGTGACAAGGTTTGGCAAAAAAACAAAAAACAAAACAAATGTGTTTCTTCCAACAAATTTTTGTGAGGGCAATTTAAAGAGGCAAATTTGAGATGAAGGTGTATCGAAAGCAATTATTTACCTCTGGCTATGGAAATGAAAGAATCCAAGGGTCAAACCTCTCAGGTCATACCTTCACACAAAGGCTGTTTTCTTCCTCATTCTGAGGGAAAATCCAGACAAACATCCTGCAAATATACATATTTTACACTTTACAATCTTAAAGAAGCAGCAGGTTATATGAAAGAAAATAAGAAACTAGTGGAATGTAGAATCTATTTATGTATTTGTTTCTTTAGTTTTTAGCAGTAGTATATAGTTTTTACTTTATTTAAACAACACTGTAGGCTGTAGTTATGGTCGATTTCGTGACTATTATGTTTCCATCAGCACCAACACAAAATCAGAGAGTGTTGCCAAAGGCAGGAAATATGGTCATGGAATATAATCACAATGTTGACCTGAAGTATTTTTCTTGTTTTTCTTGACTGAAGTTCTGAGTGCTTCTGTCCTGTTTTTTTGTGCTTAGTCTTGTCCTGTTCAGAGTAAGATGTTCCACTTGGAGACAAATAGTTGAGATAGTTTCTTTGCCGGGCTGCGAAGCTGTTTGAGAAATTTATCTAACTCTGGAGAGTCGGCCTGCATAGCTGGGAAGTGAGGTCAAGCCTTTGCTGCAGCTGCCGCCTGCAGAACACTAACAGATAACAGTCCTGCCTGTCACCACTCTCTCTCTGTCTGCTTGCCTAATTTCTCATCAAAACTTTTTTTTTGTATACTGTCTGAGGAGTGTAATGTCCTACAGTTGTCTTATAGTTGTGAGAAATTGCATCTGTTGAATGAACTGACAGTAATGAGCCACTGACCCCCCTCCATTAACACACCTCATCTAATCAGAGCATTGAGGATGCATTGTACTCACCTGCATGAAGGTCAGTGATTTATGTTTCTGTAGATGTTTCCCATTTAGGGAGGGATAGTGGAAGATGTTGACTGTGACTGGCCAGCTGTTCAGATTTTTAGAGATATCAAGAATCCCATCCCGTCACCTACAGCCTCTTTTAACTTTGACCATGAAGTTTTAGTTCCCTAAACTTTATCTGACTTTAACCATCATATTAATCTTTTTTTGAAATGACCATGTTTAACAGTTTTGGAAAGCACTGGTGACTGGAAAACACATAGTGTGATTTGTTTGACTTAAACTTATTGGCTTTGATAGAAAAGCATAATGTGACTAGCAAGTCATTTTCCATTGCATTTTATGTTATTCTGTTTTCTTTTGAAATAGATTTTTTTCTGTTTCTCATTTCTGATTTATTCTGTGACAGTGGGCTTTTATTTTGAAAGCTTGACCTAAAAGTGACAAATTGTCATTGTGATCTCAACTGTGAATAGTTAAGTAATACAGTACTATATTGTAATATATCATTAGTGAAAAGAGCAATAAAGAGTTTAAATAGCAGAGCAAGTCATGTAAAATTGTGAAAAGAAAAAAAAATTAAATGTATTTGTTTTTTTCCCTAACATCAGATGATAAAAAATGAAATAATTCCCACTTTCCCCAAGAAAAAAAAAGGCAGGTGTAATTAAGATCATACCATGTGGTGAAAGTAAATGGGAGATAAATAGATTTTTGATTTACACTGATAAAGATAATGGAATTGTGTCATTTATTTAATTATCAATTAGAATTATTTGTATCACTGTGTCTAATCATGACTTTAAAAGACAGATTTTTAGTGGTATTTTATGATTTTGGGCTTCCGTAACTGTTAACCTAATGCACCCACAATAACACTCAACTATTTGAAAAGACTTTGTAACAAAAGTACTTTGTACTCAAAATGTGTCAATACTGTAAAACGTTTTAGATGTGGTTATAGTGACTTGGGCGTTTTTGTTGTGTAGACTGATGACGGTGTGGTTATTAAGTGATGTTGATGTGGTTATAGAGTGAGTTTTGTGTGTTTCAAGAGAAACAACCAAGTCTGGCTCCCACACAGTGTGGGGAGTACTCACTGTTGTTGCCAGCAGTTTAGACGTTAATGGCTGTGTGATGTGTTATTGTGATGTGTCATTTCTTCAGTGTTGTCACATGAAAAGATATAATCAAATATTTACAAAATGTCAGGGGTGTACTCACTTTTTTGAGATACTATACATCACCTGATCAGTGGTTGTGTTGTAGGATACATTTTCAGGGCCAACATCGTTTTTTTTAAATTATTATTATTTTTGCTTTTTCAGTAGAGATGGAAGACAAGGAGCTGTCGGCCTTATTCAAACCCAGGATGTCACATTTACATAATATTCACTTAAGATCGAAGGCTTAAGTGGCAGGGTGCTTCCCATGTACAACATAATGTGGTTTAAATTTTAAGGTGACACTGTTAACCATTTTTATCAAGTTATCAGTAAATATAAGTGAATCATTCTTCCTCAAGTTGGAGTGAATCCAAATGTCATAATTTTTCCAATGTAATTCATGAGTCATTTACACTTTAAAGAGGTGGTATTATGCTTTTTGGCTTTTTCCCTCTCCAGCCCAAAGGGAGTTCCCATCTCCCACAGAAAGCTCTGCTCTGAACCGCTTGAAAACAGCTTGTTTGTAGTCCAGCCCTTCACTTCCTTTACTTGTGACGTCACAATGAAAACGCGTCATAAAGCTTGCCAAGCGGCTAGCGGGGTCAGGCACAACCTCAAACCAACAGAAAGTTTTATATTTTACAGTTTTCGTATGGAATTTCATCACTAAATCCACTTCTGAGAAGTTCTGAGGTGAGAAATCAGCTGTGTAGATTTCAAATATTGACAGTTTTACGAGAAGTGATGGCGGAACAAAAATGTGCTTGAATATTTTCGGAGTTGAGGAGCTCCGCAAGTGGCTGCGGGGGAAGCCTGTGCCAACCCGCGGGAGGAGTGTGTGAGGCCGGCCAGCCGCCCGCTCACAGAGCCCTCTGCTCCCGCCGTCACACAGACCGCTGCAGCAACAGCGGCAGAGGAAAACACAGCTGGAAGGTTTTCATACCGCTTATCTGTCTTTACATTCTGAGGAATGGAAACGTTTTAACTTAAAAAAGAGAAAGCTGTGTGTGGATCGCTGGTGTGTGTGTCGCATTGAACATTACATCGCGGGCAGTTGTGTGTGGCGTTGCTATGACGACAAGCTACGTACTATCTCTGGGTACTATCTGCAATGGAAAACAGAGCAGGGCCGAGTAGAGTCGATTTGCACTATGGTAGCATTTTTCAGCTAGGCAGCATAGATCGTCAGAACACCGGCTACAGATCAGCGTTTAGTCCCAATGGTAAGATGTGGAACAATGATGTTGTGGACTTGTGAGTAACTAATCTGCTAGGTTACGGTCGCAGTGTGAAGCAGCTTTGATTTGGATCACACTACCTTGTTTCTTACGACCCGCCCTTCTCTGCTTCTGATTTGCTAGTAGTCCTTACCTGGGAACTGCGCATGTGCAACTCCCAACAAAGATTTTGTACAAGTAAGATGCATCACTCTGTAGCTCAAGAGCAGAGCGTACAACACATAGGGTGAAAAGTTAAGCTGCAGCAATGTGCAGTATGAGAAAAATATGGTGATTTTTGAAAATTAAACCATGTAAACCTGTTCTGGTACAACCCCTAATTAAGATTTTGAACCTGAAAATGAGCATAATACCACCTCTTTAATCCAGGAGATCCATGCCTTAGTGCTGCAATGCCAAAACCCTGAACATATAAATAAGAAACTGATATATATACTGATTCGGTGAAATACAGTATGTTAACTACTGTTACATAAAGTGAAATTCAAGAGTCACATACATAGGCCAAAATTGGTAAAGTGAAACAAGTTACTCAACTGAACTTTTACTGCAGTCAAATCATGTCACTAACCTCTGTGACTTCATGGGGGTCTTTGTTTTGTTTTGTTTATTTAAGAATTCATTTTAAAAGGACGCTTACATGGTTTCAATATGTTCATGCACAATTAAAGCATAAAAAAAAAGACTTCTTTGCATTGTGGTCCTAGTTAGATGTTGTAGAGGTGTGTGCACGTGTGTGTGCGTGCACACTTGCCCGTGGAGTACAGCATTAATGGAATATATAAGCAGAAAAAAAACATCAAGGATGGATGTTAAAGGTCAAGGATCAACAACTAGCATAACCTATAAATAACACAAGCAATGATTTTGCACACTCTGAAGCCTCTTCTCCCATTAAGAGTTGGACACCACAAAACTTTTCTGTACACATATTGTAAAAGCATTCTATAGAGCTGTCTTCCTGAAAAACATCTTTTATTTTCAACTTTTTTTTTCTCTCTGCCTTGTTTTCTCCTCAGGTGCATTCATCGTCTGCTGGACCCCCGGCCTGGTCATCCTCCTTCTTGACGTCTTCTGTGCCAGCTGCAACGTCCTTGACTATGAAAAGTTCTTCCTGCTTCTTGCCGAGTTCAACTCGGCCATGAACCCCATCATTTACTCCTACCGTGACAAGGAGATGAGCGCCACCTTCAGGCAGATCCTGTGCTGTCAGCGGCAGGAAAACGTCAACGGGACCGCGGCAGAGGGATCTGACCGGTCGGCGTCATCCATCAACCACACGGTGCTGAGCGGCGGTATGCACCACCACCACCACCATAACGAACACTCTGTAGTATAAAGGAGGGCTGGAGATTGCGGAGATTAATCCAACTGCTTGAAGGAGTTGATCTCTTTTGGAGATACTGACTGAAAGAAGGTAAATGGCAGCAAGGGTAGTTCGAGAGGGACCGCGAACATGATATGAACTAAAGACAGCAACGTGATAAATTTGAGAATGAAGATAAGGTAGAGTTGATGATGAGCTGGATGAAATCACAATGAAGAAGATGATGGCGACTATGAGGAAAGATGACAAGACTTTATCGCGGTGTGGGGAAAGAAGAGGGGAGGAGTCTGATCTTTGAGGACTCTTGATAGGCTGTTGGTATTTTTATTTAGTTGTTTATTATTTTCTATTTGTTTTGAATGTGTTATGTACAACGCTGATATGAACTATTTAAATCTGTGAAATGAAGGTAATGCCAGTATAACCCATCCTCTTTCTCCAGTCTTCTCTAACATTGTGTCTCGCAGTCGTTGGTTTCAGACTTTGACCCCTTGATTCCCATTCTTAAGAAAGGTATCATAACATCATCCATACAGTACATGTTACGTACAGATGCAACATGACACTATCTGACTCCTTGTATTAGTTGTGACATTTTAGGTCTTGGAGCACTATTCTTCCTTTATTGTAGTTTAGGAAAGACTTCAGATCGCACATACACCGTGTTGTGCTTATAACATGTAACTCTCCAACAACCTCAAACTTAACCTAACTTAAAAATTACCTTGCGGGGACTCAAGGCTCTGAATAGTGTTTCAATTTGTTTCCTTTGTTCTCCACATTTATGGGATGATGGATAATGCTTAAAAATACATATATGTATTAATACTGACATGTTTGATTTATCAAAAAAATACAGTAATACTGTTCAAATTCATCTTTAAATTACTTTACAACCTTTTTTTATTTAATGTTTATTTGACAGGGACAAATGCATGGAACACTGCTTTATAAAGAATACAAAGTAGATTCCGTGCATACAGGTTTCTAGCCATGACTAATTTGCAACCTTGTAAACACCCTAAAAACTTGGTATTCTACTAATCCACTTCTCCCACTAAAAAGCTTTTGTCAATGCATCCCAACAGTTTCTTCCTTTCATCCAACTTTAATACATAAAGGGTCCAGGATCCTGAGTTGTTTATTCCCTCTAAGGAATTAGAAGTTGTTCCAGGGATCTTACCAAAAAGGGGAGGAGGATGTTTGCGGTTTTAGCGCAGACTCTGTGACACAGTGTTATGTGGAGACAAGGTGAAGGTCATATCTGGTGAGCATTAACAGACTTCAGATCAGGATAAGAAATGTGCTGAGCTGCCTGCCTCTCTCGGGTTTTATCAAGTGTCTCTGAGTCCATGAGGCTGACAAGAAAAGAGGTCGAAGTGTGTAAGTATAACCAGTGTTTATGTTAAATTGCCCTCTGGTGGCACGAGTAGGATCTCTGAAACTAAAAATGACTGAAAACTAGATGAGAGGTGACAAGCTGGGCCATTCTGTCTGCCTGAATTTGTAGTTTACAAACTAAATTTTGCTACGAATGATACAGTATCTGATATAAACAGTTTGGACTGTAAACACTGACCCACTCTATTTACCACCAGCTGTCCGGATTTGAAGACATTGATGTGGGAACAACTATGTCACCAGATGAATTTGAACACAGAGGGCTGAGATGAAGAAATAGCTAGAATGTCTAGCTAGCATATGGGACCATTTTTTAACTGAGCATACTACTGATAAGTCTAAGAGTCTACAGCCACACTAGGAGGGCTCTGTGGGGCATTGCTGAGCTGACACGTTAACATCAGCATGCTAACATGCTTATAATAAAAAGGCTGAACATGCTGATGTAAAGCAGATAGTATTTGCCATGTTCCCCATCTTGGTTGAGCTTATTAGCAAGCTAACATTTGCTAATTAGCACTAAACACAAAGTAAAGCTGAGGCTACCAAAAATATCTTTCCTATTAACCAGAAACTGAATGACATGGACACATGTTTTGCTGTGAGTGTGTTATTGTGGATATTAAGTATAGATCCCCATCCAAAATGTATTATGTTTTGTTTATGTCACCATACAAGAGGCTTGTGGTTATAATATTGTTTTTGATACAAATAATTGCAATGTTTTGCATACACATATAGGGTATCCCTTCCCTTCTCCCCCCGTCACCCTCCCCATGGTGGCATCCCTCTTGTGCTGTTTTCATTTAATTCAAACTGAGAATCATCATTGAGAAGCAAAGATGAACTGTATTGTATGGCCTTAACTCTCGATTCAGTTGGATATCCAATCCCCAAAAGGAACACTGTCACATCATGTGTGTATACCTTCCCAGTGAATTAAGTTGGCACATATTGAAGTTTGGACTAATGACAGGCATATAGTGAGGTTATGATAATGTTGATGTTTACCAAAACAGCATCATGGACTGTTTACCATATCACAATGTTAAGCAATTTTGACACCCAATTCTTACTTAAAGGTGTACAGAAAACATTGGCGGAAAACAGTTTACTCTTATTATAAAACTCAAAGGTCTAGTAGCCTTTAGGATGTTTTTCTTAATGAATTGAATTTGTGAAAGGTGAGGCAGAGTTGAGCCAGTGCAGTGTTGAATGGTGTTATATTATTTCCACAAGTGCACTCCCTGACATCTACTATTAACTTGAGATTCTTAGCCAAGTCAGTATGGTGATGCTATGACGTGCGATGTTAAAAATTGCCAGCTGGACGTTTTGTCCTGACTTGAATCAAAACACTTTCTGGCCAAAACACATAGACAAAGCTCCTAACAGCTGACAGAAAAGTGGGAATCATGGCCAAAAACACAGTCAAATGTTTTCCAGGAAGCAAGATGTTTGTCAGGGATTTAAGCTGCAGTGCTAAAATGAAGTCAGCTGGTATTTTTGCCTGTCGAAGTTTCCCAAAATGTTGCCCTGTTTATGAGGCAAGAAAGCCTTTTAATCTCCTGGTTGTGCCTCTACATGTTGCACATAAACACTTTGAGTAAACTCTAAGCAACAGATCATAGATTTTTTTTTCCAATTTAACTTAATTAATTAGTTTTGCCTTTGAATTTGAAGTTTCACTTCTGTCTCATCATTTCGTTGTTCAGACTTTGTCTATCTATGTCTCTGGACCCAACCCTCCACCTTTCACATTCACTGTAACCATTTTTCTAACAAGGTTTTGATTCAGGTTGTATAGCAGACCAACTAAGTTTTCTGTTTTTGTATGTCTTTGTTTACCAGTGTGTCAGTCTTTGTACAACATTGTAAGTATATGTGTACAGTATGTATATAAATATATATAAAATATATCATTCAAAGTTAATCACCAAAGGGAAAGTGTTTCTGTGTTTTTAAATTTAACTGTGCTATACTCTGTCCAAGTGTACTGTAGGATTTTCCTTAAGGGTTTTATGGTTTTATTAGCCCTTTGTATTATGACTCTAATCAATGAATTTCCTTTAGACACGATTACAGTTACTAACTTGTTTGTGACCCAGAACTTGATATTTATGTGTGCAGTGCCTCCCAGTCCTCATTCTTAAAGAATAACTTAACACCAGTCTGAAAAGGAGTGTTTAACCACCCTCTCTTCAAATTTCAAATCTGTTTCACCTCTGACCACACCCAGCAGTGATGTCACAGTGTCCTGGAGTACACTTTTACATCACTGCAGCAAGGTGAGAAGTTAGACCAACGGAGGTCACCAAAAATAAGATTTCCAGGTGGTGTTAACATCCTCTTTAAGTTTGTGTGTTCCTAACACCTTCATTTTGCAAATGCCTTAAAGTAGAACAAAGATGAATGTCAGTGTTGAAGAAAGTTTTCACCAGAGAACATGATTTTTGAATAATGAAAATACACAACACAGCCTCAAAAATACAATGAGTACATACTCATAAATATAGATTACATAATATTATTTGATAAAAATATCAGGTCTTGTTCTAAATTAAAATATTTGATCAACGTTCTGGGGGTCAAAACAAGTTCAATTGTAAGTCCACACTCCAGCAGTCACGACACACGTCATTCCACTGTCATGCATGTCACCATACGCCAGTGTCCTTTCCCTCAGTGTTAACTTAAGGAACTTTCCCGAAAGGCAACAGTTTTATCAGATTAGCTGCCCAGATTCTCACATCTTTTCTGTTGTTCCCTGACTACTTCTTATTTTGTTTGAATGGCGCGTCCAATGTTGGCTATGGGCTTCAAATGACATCACATGACGCAGCCGGTGTGTGTTGCACTTAAGAGATGTTATTATTTTAACCTGTTCATCCAAAAGACTATGAATGGCATGATAATATGTACATTATAAGGTCAATGACTGACAAACTGTAAGTGTGAAACATTTTGTTCTTCCAAAGTGAAATATTGCCTCAAACCATGTACCAGGAGTTTGTAGAAAGTAATTGTGACACAAGCATAAATGTTATTTCCATACTATCTATACTGTACCGGCCAATATCAATGAATGTCCACCAAAAGTCATAGTGTTAATATCCCAGCAACAATAAAAACATGAGAAAAGTCTGAATTATTGTCACGGCGTGTTCTTTAATCTGAAATAAAGAAAGAAAAAGAAAGAGTTTCTAAAAGACCTGATGATAATGGTGTTTTTAAAAGGCCTTGCTTTATCTTACATGTTTAGCCTTGCTATTGTGGCTCCTATCTGTTCTACACCATTGTTTTCGTTTCTATGACATCCAAAAAAGTCAGTAACAGGCGAACAAGGAAACACACAGGTTCACAGACCCAGACTGCTAGACCAAATAATCTATAGACCTTGAGGCTGTTCACACATTTTAGACAGCCTTGACTGTTTGCATGTGCTGCCATGTGTTTAAATGTTGACGCACTTATTTTTTCACAGTGTACTTTGCATGGCTGTGCAGCTTTAGGTGTTGCTCAATAAATTAGTTCCCTAACACTTATAAATTCTCTGTTGAGGTGGTGTGTCTGGACTTGGCTCGCTTGATGCAGCCAGAACATGTTGGTATTATATAGAATTTTTATCAATTTTTGCCCCAAGTGGCTTGGAGGCTAAGGTCACATTGTATCTCCAAAATAGTGTTAATAGGGTTGCATAATTACATGGAAATCACCTGGCAATATTGTGGAGTGCAAAAAGGTATGGGTTTTCTCATTGTGATTGGAGTTTCTAGAATTACAATGGGCACTGAGTTACTGTTAGTAATTTGGGCATAGGAAGATGAATATATTTTCAGTTATGATCAAGTGAGAAACTCAACATTTATTTTATACCTGCAGACCAAACAATTTAGAGTTGCAAAAAAAGTATATAAACAGTGGGTGAAAGACTGTGTGTAATGTAAAAAGTGTCGCTAGTTAGTTGTAACAAACCCATAGACAAGTATCAACTGACTCTGTGGTTCCCCTCAGCTCAACAGAGCATTTTAGCATCTTTTAGCATCTTCTCAAGCTGCAGCAGGCATCTTTTTGCAGTAACAAAGCTCTGATAATCTCGTCGAACACTACTGACCTAGCAACAAATAGCTGACAGTCAAAGTTAGTGGCTAGCTGGTGAACATTGTGGAGCAAGTTGCAGCTGAGCACGACACTTAATCCCTAGACAAGAGCCATTCAGTCCTCATGATATGCGATACGACTCAAATGTAAAATAAAATTTAAAAAAGTAAAAAAATTAATTAATTAAGTTTAATTAACTTTACAGCTTTACATTGCAGAATGTGAACTGTGACATAAAGCAGATGTTCCATGGAGGATTGCATTAAACAAGTGTGACATGTGTGTATGTTAAATGCTACTGTAAGAGTGGTTAGGGCCACTGTGTGTCGTGTGTGACATGAATTAAGCAGCAGTCATGCAACGGTGGCTAAATGTTTTTATAGGAAAGAATGTTCTGTGTGTGTGTGTGTGTGTGTGTGTGTGCACAGACTAATAGTACACTCTGCTATGTTTATTGTTCCACAGCTTTAGAGTACTAGCCTTCAGTTGACTGATATATGTCTCCCTACTTCCTGTTGCTCCCTGAATGGGCCAATCAGAGCCAGTGTGGCCACACAGGAGGTTCCTGTGTGCTGTCGCAGTGTGAGGGGTATGTCACATCTTCGTCATAAAGTCAATGTAGACACTTTCCTTGGCTCCCAGTGTAGGAAATGTGATGATTGTGAAGAATTTAACTGTTCCACACAGAATTGATGCCCTCTCCTAAACAACCAGCAGGACTTGCTGACTGACCAGTAGGTCCCCTTGGTCAAATGTCCTGCTGCATGTTTGGCAGATAAGTTAAAGCTAATGATTTGAATGGACAGAATCAGCATTCCTGCTGCTAGCTAAATGTATGATACATGGAAAAGTCAACAAGACATTAAAAGCTGAGCTGCTAACATGCCAAGACATCCAGGAATGTTCCATTTCTGTTGAAACATTTAAAAAATGAACACATTGAGCCACATGGAGCTATTTCTGAAACACTATTTTTGCTGTCTCTGCTGCAAAGATGTACTAGTCCAAAGAAGATTATCATGACCAAACAGTATAAATGGCAGTATAAATCTCTGGTCTCCAAACATCGAGAGCTTCTATTGCAAGTTGGCAGGAAGTTTGAAGAGTCCATTCAGTCAAATCATTTGTTTGAAGAAGGAAAAATCGGTTAATTCACAGTGAATGAGTCTTACTTCCTAGTGTCTGCAGCTGGCTGTGCGACATATTTTAACTAAAATGTTTCAAAGAAAGATAATGCTACTGGAGACAGGGAGAAGGAACTGACTGCATCTACAGATAAGACAGGAAACAGTGGTGATGGAGAGTGAGGAAAGAAAGAGGAAGATGACTCAAAAGGAGCAAGGAGAGGAGGTAATGAGAAAAGACAGGGTGAAATGAGGGAAGACTGTAGCACAAGAATGGAGTGATTAGTGATCTGTTGGGGACAGGCACCCTTTTCCAGGAAAAACGCTAAGGAATATAAATCCTCGCCTGGTAAAAGAAAACTATATTTTAATGCAATAAACCATCAAAACCATCATAAGGAAGATTATAATGCAACTGAATATCTGCAAGTACACCTAGAATGCAATTGTAACTGCAAATTTGATGAAACAGTTATCATACAATGTTGACTTTTATTGGGAGTTATCTTTAAAACACTATTTATATCCATATAACCAAGTTCCAAATAACATAACATTGAAATATTGATAAAAACAGTGAATAATGATAAACATTCCTATGACCAAAATCACCCCGGTGCTTTACAGGCGTGTAGTGTGAGAACGGAACACCCCACAGTGATGGGGGGCATCAATTGATCCGGCTTAAGCCGACCTTTCATTTGATACCCTGGATGTACCTCCTACGAGTCGCCTACTAAAACGCAAAAAAAAACGAGTGTGAAAAAGCAAGACTCCTTTCTGCAGAAAAAGACTGAAGAATGCAAAAAGAATGCAGGCACACAGCTCCCAGGTATTGCACAATATCCAAAATGGCGGCCGGGATTATTTTTGTCAACAAATTAGCTATTTTTGGACTGGATACGGCGAGAACTGCAAAAGTAAGTCAGCGGTTATGATTGTAAATGTATATTGGCTCATTTGTTGTTACTTTTATCCAGCTAATTAGTCTGTAATGTTGGTGATTTCAGTGATGTGAGCTATGCAGCTGAACTCAGGGATTAGATTTTTGTTGTGATATAGGCTTATTTAGATGCTTGGTGTTTGATGGGTGTTTAGTGTGGATAAAATTGGTTGGTTTGAGCTTCTAGCTGAGCCTGTCATATTAACTGATTGGCGAATTTTGATACGTCAATCATTTGTGTTTTCCATAAATTTGAAATTTTGTATCTTTATGTACAATTTCACAAAAATGCTCTTAAATCAAAATTGGCTTAAGCTATTGTAACCAAACTTGGCTACCAAAAATAAACATGGACATTCTCTAGATGGCTGATATCAAGTGTTCAAAGGGTTTTTAGATCAGTCAAACAGTGACTCTGCAGTGATAATCAATATCTTGCTGTAATTTGTGCAGTATGCATAACATTTTTGTTGCTCAATTTTGGATCAAATGCAATCCAAATAATTGACAAGACACACAAAACCAGCAGAATGATGTGTGATTTTTTTTCTCAGAATTTTATCACCAACATTTTGACTGTTGTAAGCTGTTTAAGTTCAACCTGGCAAAATATCTGAGTCTGCCACATGTGATCAACCTGTGAGAAGGAGTGTGGAAATAATCTCTCACCAGTAGCTCAGTCAGTAAGTCACCTACTCAGGTCTTATGAAGGTACAGCAGGGAATGATGTCGGGGTGGGGCACCAGATTGGGAACCGGAGCCGGGCGAGCAGGCAAAAAAAACGTCCTCAGCAGCCTCCCAGTGAACACAATGTAAACAGGACCGGACACAACCTCAAAGACCAATGGGAATTCAGTACCAAGATGATTTCCAGAGCTTCTTGATGGACATAAGATCTTGATGGATAGCTACTACTAGTATCTTACCTTATCTGTCATTATATACATCTGTAGCTGGTTAGCTCGGTTAGCTGTGCTGCTAGCGGTCCTATAAACTGACTGCCAAACCTGGCAAGAAAACCACCTGGGTACTGTATTCCCAGTGGTCGAACTGGCTTCTGTCCGTCTTGGAGAATGTGTTTGGCCCTGGTCCAGCTGCCGTGTTCACTCACTGGGACCTGGAACCAGTCCACAGAGTCTGCATGACAGCTTGAAGGCACGTTCAGCGCTACTGGCTCCTGTTTATTATCTGCGACACGTTTGTTTCAGGAAACTTGTACATTACGTTACTCCCCAACCCTGCTAGTCAGGTACATATAACACTTTGTACTGCATGTTCTATGGCAAATTAATAATGCTTTCACTTCATAAACTATGACATATTGATTGTATGAAGTATTGTATTGGTATTGAGGTCAGGTAATGTGGCCCTCATATTTCTTGGCATTGGATCCAAATCAAATGTCTACAAGCTCCAGAAAGGAAGGAATGAAACTAGATTAAAAATGGTGCAAACAGAGTAATCCGTAGGAGGTGTGAGGAGAGGGAAGAACACAGCAGGAAGTGGGAGTGAGACAAGAGAGAAGAAGGATGACCAGTCCAAGCCAACTCCATTCTGCCTACTTCAAACAGTTTACATTGGGCATCCCCAAAACACACACACACACACACACAGACACGAACACGTCCTCCTTAAAACTCATATACACACACAAGGAAGCAAACACAGAAACATTCACAAACATATACAAAGAACTGATGTTGTGCAAAGCACACAGAAATTCACTGTAAAAAATGATGCACATAGCTCTGAATGGCAAACCTGTTTTTCACAGTTCACCTCTCCAATCCCTCTTGTGGTGAATAGTAACACTGCGGCAACCACATTGTAAAGTATGTCTATGGATGTGCTCCTTACTCACCATGAAGCCATATCAGACACAGCAGCCTAGGTGGGGTCACTGCGTCCCCAAGCACTTTCTATGTGGTGCAGCAAATTTAAGTACCTAGGTTGGTGATTTGGTCGTCTAGTTATCCATCTTTCAAACTCTTTGCTCCGGAGAAATTAAGATATTGCAAACTATTTATGTGAAATATGGGCATTTTCTGTCCAGATCTCAAATACAAATGGGTTTATTCTGTTTATTTGCAAGCGATACAAAGAAATATCATATTTAAAAGGAAGTAAGTAAGGCAAAACCTGCACCATTATGTTATGTAACAAAATAACAAAAACATAACAGCACACCACATTTAAAAAGAAATAAAAAATGTCATTCATTTGAAAGGTATTGATTATGACAAAGAGATGTTGGTAATACTGGGCTGAAACTGTGTAATAATATGCACCTAATTCAATTTTACACAGTTGAAATGAGACCAGAGAGCGAGTTTGATCTCTTAGAAAGAGTCTTTGCGAGAACCAATTAAAAATTTAGTCTTTCAGAATGAGGATATTTTTGACACTTTGGCCATTCTTCACTCACTAAAGAGCCTATTTTAAGGCAGAGGAATTAATTTATTTAATAAGCTTCTGCAAAGCTAATTGAGCAAATGTGTGTGTCAGAGCGAGAGACTTGTGTGCGATGATGATGCAATTTAGAAGAATTCATTAATTAACTTAAAACAAATTTGACCAATGCTGCTATAATTTACTTGCTATGTCAAACCCTGTGTCTGTCACAAAGTAAAAATAACAAAAATGAAAAGACAAAGATCAACAAAATGACAAATAAAAGAAACAAAAAGAGAATGCCCAAAAATGGAATAGCAACTTGTCTATACAAAACAATCAACAGCAATGGTATAAAGTGATTGTGTGCTGCTCTGGAATTTGCTAGAGGTGACAATAACAAGAGTGGCTCATCCTCTTTCTAACCCTAATGTTTAGCAGTCTGACCATATGCAACGGCTTGACAGCTCAAAAGGAAAAAAAGAAATCCAACAATTCTACATGCAATGGATGAAGCATAATGTTTGAGTGCATCTGTATTTACAGTGGCTAAGGGCAGGGTGTGAACTACAGGGGATCCAGTGGGAGCTTGGCTCCTTTTAAGAAGCCATGAGCCCCCCTAAAAACATGATTTGTAAAATATTAACAATGTGCTATTTTTGCCATCTGTATCATCATCATCATCATAATCATGGATCACACATAAAATTAGGCTATTCATTCGTGAGGGTGATTCAATTTAATAAAGATTCCGACATGCATGCTATTCACCATCGAAGCGTGGTGATGCAATATCATAAACTTTATTCACTTTACACTGACTTTAATTCAAATTGCTCTGAATCGCCGTGATTTATTTAAGATAAGCATCAGACTCAAAAGCTGGATAAGCTTTGTACAGCAAGTAAGACACATCTTACCACCTCATCTGAGAGGGGGTCTTTCTGCTGTTAATGATAGTGATACCTAGGCCTGCAATAGGTTGCGTGAAAACAGCCTCTTATCATTTGTGGTTCTTAATGGACCCCCTTTGCCAAGTTTCGGCCTTAGTAATTGACCCCCACCAAACCAACACAACCATGGTTAGGCGCTGGGGTCAGGGAGTCTTTTCATAGATGCATTTAACATCTTTCATAAATAAAGCAGACCTTTCTGATGGATATGGGCTGGTAAATAGCAAGGAGTGGCGGGCTAGGTCGAAAGCACTACAACATTCTTTAAAAACAATTGCAAAACTAAACAAGTAAGAAAATGCAAGTTTTGTTTATGATACAAAAACATTTGGTATGGGCACCAGAGTGGTTCTTATGAAAAGAAAAATCTACTGAAATATACTGTTTGAGTATTCTATGAATGCTCTTGCTCAGTGTTAGGGTTCATTTAAAGTGTGTTTTCAGGCACCAAAGCACTACATAAGTCTGTGTCTTTTTGCACAGAGAAAGAGAGAAATATTTTTTGCAAAAATGTCCCAGGTTAGCAGTCGACCTCGGTGTCAGCATTCATGCTCAGTGTGTTCTGATGCATTCGCTCCAGTATCCGATGTATACTACTGAAGCTGGGCCTGTCTGATGGGTGTGTGCTCCAGCAAAGCCTCATCAGATTATACAGCTCCAGAGGACAGTTCTCAGGACAAGAGAGGATGTGACCATCCCTCACATAGTAAATAACCTCCTCATGACCCATACCATAGTACGGCTGCATCCCATGGGAGAAAATCTCCCATAATACCACGCCATAGGCCCACACGTCCGATTCAGTAGTGTAGCGGTTATAGAAAATAGACTCTGGGGGCATCCAGCGAATGGGGATTGCATCATTCTCGTTGGCTTTGTAGTAATCAGCAGAGTAGATATTTCTGGAGAGGCCGAAATCTGCGATCTTCACCACCATTTCCTCCCCGACTAGGCAGTTCCGGGTTGCAAGGTCACGATGGACAAACTTGCGCTCTGAGAGGTAGGCCATTCCTGCAGCGATCTGCTTGGAAATGGACAACTGCTCAGCACAGGATAGAAGTCCCGCCTCCAGCTCAGAAGAAAAACTGCGACCCGACAGGCTGGCATGGCTGAGGGTGCGCACGGATTGGGTTGGAGATCTGCGACGAAGGAACTCGTTGAGGTCACCATGGGCCATGTACTCGAACATCAGACACATGGGTTTACCCACTGCACACACACCTGGGGAAGAAAGCATACAGAACTTTTTTTATGATCTATGACATACAGATTATGTAGGCTTGTGACAAGCCACGAGTCTATGTGTGTTTGTCATAATAGTGAAATGTGCTCTTGGAGACACTCAGTTAAGGGCAGCAAAGATTAGCGTGATGTAGTACGAGTTAAAACCCTGGCAGCAGCGTCTTGTATCAGCAGCAGTCTTGGGATGCTACACCAGCTGATACCAGAATAAAGTGCATTGCGGTTTGGAAGAGATAAAAGCATGGATGACCTTTGTCTGCAGAGGAAAGGAATGACCTGATCTTGGTTCAAAGTCACAGCTGAGCAAAGCAGGACTGCACCACTTTAACCACCAGAGCATCAAAGGACAGTTCTGAAGGAAAAAATAACACCTAGGTTGCGAGCCTCTTTTAGATCCTTAAAAAATGTATTCACAACTAACCATGTTTAATGTAGTACATTCCTCTCTCTCAAACCTGGGAATATTTCAGCCAAACACATACTCTATGAAAACTAACATAGTTTAAAAGTTGACCCTGTGAGGATGGTGAGGCATAGTGAATAAATCTGCCTCCTGTTTCTCCAGACTCACTTCTCTCATGCCATGTGTTCCATTGCACGGTAAACACAGTTTGGCATCGTGGCTGGTGTGCTCCCATCACATGATGGTCTCTAGTGAGTTGTGCATTTTCCCACCACAGAGGTTTGAGAGCACAAATACAAATACGCAACCATGTAAACACATTGGTGACATCATTAAACCACGCTGCAGTATCATACAATGAGTTAATTCACTGTAAAACAAATAAATAAATATTCAACCTAGACATAAACACAGACCGAACCAGCTCACAAATAAACTCTTGCGCATAGTGGATGTACAGTCTCAAATTTGTAGCCATGTGATCTAAACATGGTGTGTTTCTAAATTAACCTTGTTCCTTCTTCTGAGCCTGTGTGTGTGACAACTTCATTTAGGATTCTGGAAACTCAAAATGTTGTGTATTTGGCAGCGAGGGCTTCCACAGCTGCCACAACTGAACTTGTTTGCACTCATGATGTGGAAAGAAGTTGTTTTAATAGATTAGTTTAAACATATTCGTCTATTAATTAATTCCTGAATGAATTAATGAATACATTTCCATCAAATATCGTGGGCACACATCCTTTCTAAGACTCAATAGACAATAACTTGAGTTGATAAAATCAATAAAGATGTTTGCTCAAGTAATCAATTTTCCTTAAAATTTGAATGTCTTCAGGTGTAATATTTTAGCATGGGCAGAAGTTTGCACTCACTAAATTCATTCTACTTTATTTACTACCGATTTACTTTACCTCTGTAAAAGAGTGGCTGTTTGCCTGTTTATCTACATTCCTGTAAATGCTTTTTGCAATGTGCGCTGCTTGAAACAAAAAAGCACACACCATGGTGACTGTACAGAGCCCCTACTGCCCTGCAGCAGTTGTAGATGTGCCATTCATGTAACCTGGCATCCACAACCAGATTTTGAGTACTTAATGGCTCTTAAGAAAAAAATCATAGCAAATCACCAGGTCTGCCAACGAGAAAAGAAATACCCTCACTGGAATCAGACAGTAGTTTCAGTTTCTCTTTCTATAGCCAGTTTTAGATTGAGACCTTGCAAAACTTGTCAGTGTCCTTTCTAATTCAGCCCATGATTTGTGCACTTTATGTGGTTACACAATCAGAATTCTGATTTAGTGCACTTGACTGCTTCTGTTTCTGTGTGAAACATCAATTGGAACCTCACTGACCTCACTGACCCGCCAGTAGCCCAGATATTTCAAACTATTTTGAAACTTTTTGTTCAAACCCACAGAACAAAGCAAAGTTCCCCAAAATAACACATATTTATGGAAGTCCTAAGCACCATCCATTCAAACATTTTATTTACACCGTTTTCCCATGATAAATTTTCTCGAGATAACGAATGTTGTTTTCCCATGGTAACAGGATAATTTTCTCGTGATCTCAAGATGACAAAATGATAGTCTAAGGCAGGGGTCAGCACGTTTTTTCAGAATAATTTTAAAGGATTTTTCATTGTCCCTAGCTAGCTCAGTCAGTAGAGCACAGGTCTCTCAGTGTAAGTGTTAAGTGTTTGATCGCTATGTTGGGTGATCTTTTTAGTTTTTATTATCCTTTTCAACAATCATTTTGTTATCTCAAGATCACAAGAAGATCATCCCGTTATCATGGGAAAACAAATAAAATGTTTGAATGGATGGCCGCTTACGGCTTATGAACGTATGTCAGGCTGAATTTTCAGTAGGGCTGTAAAAATGATGCAGAAGACATCTAGAATATTTCCACTGTGTAGCCATTAAGCCATTATCTTTGGTTTAGCTGTATTGATTTGTCATTTAAATGTGATATCCAAGTCAGCACAAGAACTGCAACAGCAACAACATGCTCACATGTAACTTTAGGCGAGAAGAGGAGGCTCAGAGGTCATGCTCACTTAGTTCATGCCCTGTGGGTCAGAGAGACAGTTCTGCAGAAAACAAGCTCTGATCACTGTTCCCCGTGGTGTGGGTGTGTGTGTGTGTGTGTGTGTGTGGGTGCGCGTGTCCACAAACACGACTGTAGTTTAACAGTAGCAGCCTCAGTAGAAGGTCAGTAGCTGCATCCATTGCTAAATATACATAAAACAGAGGCCCCATCCTGCACACGCGACACTATGACATGCAGACACATGGCATGTCTAATTTTCACACATGCATGTTATGGATGATGCATGTATTTTTACACATGATTTGCGGTGTATTATTAGTGCAGAGGGTAATTAGAGGTTAAGTAAATAATCTAATCAACTCTGGTTTCATGGTGCAGCAGCACAGACTTCTGCATTAGTGTGTCACCCCCCAGATGAGTCATCCAAAATGAATGTCACTCAGAAAATATATGCTCTTGAAGTTTGATAGACATTTTGGAAAATCTTTTTTTTTTTCTGCAGTGGTGAATGTTGATTCAAAAATATTTCACAACCAGTGGAGCCATAAAATGGACCAAAGTAAACAAACTCTCCGCACTGGCCAATGACCAATGACCCTGTTTACTCACTGACAGTGCCACATAGAGTGGGTTGTATCTCTAAATGTCTTCCTGGCAGCATATTTGGATACAAGCTGTTTGCATTAGATTAGATAGGCTGTATAAGAGTGGATAAACTTTAATAGAGGACATTTGTTTTACTCAGGCCAACAAAGACATTGGTTGTCAGGCAGCACTTGTTTACAGGCAAACAGTCCTATCTGTATTTCTAACGGTTTTATAGTACTACAGCAAAAAAGATCTGAGGACATGACTTCATTCAGTAGAATTACAGCATGTGAGTGGAAACTAGGACCTGCATTTCCACACAAAACATCCCTAAGGAAGAAATGTACAAACAGGGTTTTGTGTGCAGTTCCCCTTTATTTGGAAATGATTAGTTTTTTTTTTTTCTTTCATTTGCATGTATGAACCACTGAGAAGCAACTAGCAAAGAAGAGGATTTTTAGAATCTTTTCTCGTCCTTCAGGTCAAACTTTTGTCACTTTTGTCAGCTTTTATACATGCTTACCACAAGACAAGATCATGGTATGGGCATGTAAAAAGTAAAGAAGAGCAGCAATACAGATTAACAGATTATGGCTTGATTACTAAATGAAGTGCAGTCAACATGACCACTGGTGAAGATGTGAGCCAAAACAGTGGACTTTGACTATGCAAAATGCTGTTTGAGGAAAGATGATTATAAAAAGAGCAAGTCTCTCCTTCAGAAGTGAAGCACAGATATCATCTTTTTTATTCCATGCGTCTTTCTTCCTTGTCAAAACCTGGTACCTACATTACCCTCAATGCAACTTGACCGTTAACAGTTGGGTCGGAGATTTGGGTGTATTATGCTAGTAGAGATGAGGAGTGAGCTACTGAGGTCTGGTAAGGTCACTTCTTTCTACCACCACACTACCTTTTTTTTCAATTTTCAAACTTGTGAGTGCAGCCTCTTTGGAAATCTGGTTTCTGCATTTTCACACACACACACACACACAAACATGCAAACCCACTCACCTAGGAGCCGTACGATGTTTGGATGGTCAAATTGAGCCATGAGTGCTGCCTCTCTCTGGAAGTCATTCTGCATGTCAGCTGAGGCTTCCTCCTTCAGCATCTTCACAGCCACCATCGTGAAAGACTCCATCGGCAGCAGGCCTGGTGCTCTGCAACAAACAAACATTACAAAAATATTCAAGCACAGACGATGAACATGCAGCTTTGTTTTTTCAGTAATGCATTTACACTGGCTTAAACATGAAGGTGCAACCAGTACAGTTGCACCGCGGGCCAGAAGCAGTCAAGTGCCCGTGAAGGAAGGCGATTTTGACCGTTTCACGCTGTCTCGAAAGTAACCATTCAACAATAACACTATAATTACTTGTAACTAACACTGTCTTATTTAAGGAGCAGCACGGGGCAAGAATTGAAGAACTGAATTCTATACTCTCAATAGAGAACAGCAGAGCCAGGAACTTGGACTTGAGCAGTGTTTTTCATGACTTTGCTAAGACCCGTAGACTGAACTTCTAATTGTTGTCTTAGTTGCGGAGCTCAATCAGGGATTTAAATCTATAGCAATGTAATGTTACCTTGCATATGTTGGAAAACTCGCACCTGCTATAATCTGTGACAGCGACAACAAGACAAAGAAAAGGGCCAACAAAAAACATTTGCACCAGGCCAAGTCAATCATTATGTGCATTAACCAGATTTCAGTAACCATGTGTTTTGAATGGGTCTTTTTAGTCTTCTAACAAGCAGCCTAGCAAAATACAGCAACAGTATGAGTGCAGTGCACTGTAAATGTCAGTCCCTTGGAGGAAACATGCATTCACCACACATACATACACACACATTCAGTGCTGGCTCACTAGAGGGGCAGACTAAAGTCAATCTGTTATTTCTTAGTGTAGATTTATATGTAGCTTGCACACACAAAACTACACACACACGTGGAAACACTCAGTCACTAACACACTGGGAAACTACAGATTGAAGCCCATCTGTCAGGGGGGGGGGGGGTATTTACTCCTTGGGTCTATTTAGGACCCTGTGTATGTTGTGTGTGTGTCTGTGTTTAACAACAAGAGCGTGACCAAATGCATGTGTTGCTTGTGTGTTTATTTAATTGTTTAACTGTACACTTCAGTGCATGTGCTTACAGGAAAAAGTTTGTATTTGCCTGTTTCTGGTCATGCATTCAGTAGTGAGTGTGTATGTCAGTATTTGTGCTCTTGTACTGCAGAGTCATGATGTGGTTAAATAAGGACCTTGTCCTAATTTTGGGGTTAAATTTGGTTTTTAGGTTGCGGTTACAGTAGTCACGTAATTCTTCATAATAGTTGCTATGGTTAGTCAGTCATAACAGTTAAGATTACACACTAAGGAATACATGACACCAATATCCTCACATGTATAGTTAGAAATGTGTGTGTATTAGAGTGTGTGTTTGTGTGTGTATTATGTTCTCAGGGGTGTCCATATACTGCACCATTCCAGCTTTCACTAAGGGATTACCAACTAGCTTGAAGGACATCTCCAAGATCTACATTTCTACATGCAGGTGCTACTGTGAAAATGCCACCAACCACTATAATGCTTTGCTGACTGTACTAGTACATGTTCTGTACTATCTGTCGTGCTCCACATAGCAGCATTGAAGCTCTATGTGGTGTCTGTGCAACGCCATACACAGAAGGTCAACTACACTCTGTGGCATGATGGATAGTAATTGTGTGTATGATGTCTGTTGTTGAATTGCAATTTTATAGCAGTCAAGTACCCAGTACACAATGGAACAGAACACTTTGGGCACTTCTGAAGGGCCCTAAACTCCTCCTCATCAAAGAGGTTTGAGGTCATTTTCATTCATGAAACTATTTCTGAAACTCATGTGAACAAGCAAGTGCAACAATATGAATGTGTTCCAGAAGAGACATGATAAGACAAGACAAATGTGCGCTGTTATCCCCCTATTTAAACGGTATATTTCTGTTTTACCATAACCTGATCCTTTGCTCTTTAAGCTCCTCTCTGTGAAAATGTGAGATTGTTGAGTCCTGCAAGGTTAGAAAAACTTTCCTTTCTACATTTTACCAATTCAGCTATGCTATTCAGTAATGGTTATCACAAAATTGTCAATGAAAGTGTCCAGATTTTTAATAGATTTATGACTTTTTAGAAATGCAACTACTGCATGATCCACGTCTGGTATTTGGTCTAATCATAGGGATTTGTGTCTTGCTGTGAACAGGGTCAGTGTGGAGTGAAAGTGACACCTACAGCAGCTCTCCTTGTGACTTTGTGAATGACGCAGCAATTCTCAGAAGGACAAGAGGCCTTGTGTAGCCACTTTAACCCCCCACCCCCTCTGAATACTGTCTGACCAATTCCTCTTTCTCTGCCTGAGAAAATCATCATGTTAGCCCCTGGCAGCGATTATAATGATGACATGGCAAAATTATATAATAGTCTGAGTATACAGTATATTGTTACAGTTATAGTCTGAATCCATTACTCCTTCACTGCCCTTTTCCTTTATCTCCTTGTCTCACCTGGCTTGGAAAACCCGTCCGAAGGCTCCCTCTCCAATATCTCTAACATATTGGATATTATTACGGGGATACTCTAGCGCCAGCAGCTTTGAGTTTAGCAGCAGGGGAACCCGCTGGTACATAGGGTTGGGGTGGAGTCGATCCAGCAGGAGCTCCGAGGGAAGAGCGCTCATTGTGGGGGTCTCCATAGCTCTGTGGAGAGAGGGGGATTGAGGAATACAAAGGTGGACACATATATGAATTAAGAAAACTGTGCCTCTTGTTTGCATCTCACCTCTTCCGGTTTCTCCACTGCTTCCTCCGTCTACGGCAGGCGAAGAGGATGATAGTGAAGAAGACCGCAGCTGCAAGTGCAGTCAGGATGATGATGATGACGGACATGGAGTACGCTGGAGATGATCCTGTGGCCGTGGGAGGGAGACGAGAAGTCTGACGAGGACCTGGTGACTCTGGCTTCATCACTAATGGACACGGAGACAGTTCAAGGCGAAAAGATATCAATTGTTTTATCAGCACTGAAAGTATCACTAGAACCAAGCATTTATTGCATGTTTGCCCAGGGACTGCCCTTTAGGGGGAGCTAGCGAGCCGTTTTGCCACACCCATAAAATACGCAATTTTTTGCCCCGCCTGATGTGTGTGCAAAGTTTCTTGAGTTTTACAGCGGCCCCCAAAAGTGAGTTTCATTTGTAGAAGAAAAAAAATGGGTCCTCGCAGGTTTTGTGCTCGGGCCCAAAATATTGCTAACATTTATCAAAAATTTAAAGGGTGTCAGAGATAATACACTGTATAACAAGTCCAATTATATTATATTGTTGAAACAATGTCCAGTATAGCATCACAACTTCATGAAAAAATGGTGAGGGGACAGTGTATACAGGATGTGTCTTGACTTTGGGTGGCAAGCTAATTTACAGTCACATGTTAGCTGCTAACTGATGAAAGAAACAAGTGACAGAAGGCAGCAGAAGGCAGCACCTGACACCACGCTTGTCTCCCCACACTGCGGCACTGCACAGTACTCCCAGCGTATGTTCGGATTTGAGGTGAAACACCAGGGCTTGTCGCTGATTCCACCCGGGTTCCTACAGTTGTTGTCTGAGTTCTTCAACTCTGGAATCACATCTACAGACAGGCGGTGCTGGTGGGGAACCTATGGGACAAGACAAAGAAGAAAAGTGTGGAGAAAATCAACAAGAGGAAGGGTTTTGTGACCATTTCTCAACAAAGCCATAAAGTTTTTAGTTTTAGTTTTTAAAAGTAATAAGCAGTACAGAATCAGCTACAAGAGGAACAGGGCAAGTTGACTTTTCTGAACAACTGTAGCATTTTGGAAACTAGCCCTTTACTTCTTGTCCTGTCAGAGGTGTGCTGTATCTTCTGGGATCCAGACTGTGGTGGTTTTGAGTAAAACATTATTTGTTCTGGTCTGTGCTCCGGAGAGGGGTAAAGAGTAAAACAGACTTTTCTTGAGACAGTGACAGTGAAGTCTGATCAATACATGTATGTGTTTGTGTGTGTTTTTCCTGGACTGTTCACCAGCTGTTGCAGGCAGATTTGAATGGAGTTTTTACTTTTCCAAGAAATTTCTGACTCTTTATCGAAAACTAACAATGCCCTTCAAATAATTTAAGACATTTTTCGAGGCCCTTTTTAACATCTATCATAAGGTTACAGTTTAATAACTGCAGAGGATGTAAAATGTATGGGATTTTAGTGGTAGCATAATTGCATAAAAAGTGCCAACTCAAACACTGAACATCTGGTGCCTTCACGTGTCATGAGCTTTAGTCATCAAAAGAGCAATGGTCCAGCCTCCTCCAAGAGATGTGAAGCTATGAACTGAATCCAACACATGCGCTGCTGTAGCTGTATGTGTCAAGCAAGCTGCTCACAGGGTTGATTTCCCACTGGGGCCGGGAATATTAAAAACAATAAGTCACATACCAGCAGGATGGCAAACTAAGTCCACAATTTGTTGCCAAATTATACAAATTTACCTGTTAATAATTTAAAATGCTATAGAACAACTTGATGTAATAACCTACTTTACAAACATTACCATATTGCATTATACAGTATATATTGTGTGAATAAATTAACTGTGCAAATTAACTTTTAAGTAATAACGGATGGTCACTACATTCATCACATTTTATGGGCTTATTATGACACTCATTAAACACATCATTAGAATAATAATATGTTTTAATGGTATGTTAAAACCTTATTATTTATATTCACAAAACAGGACACTTGAGACACTGCTCACATGACTTTACAGCATGCGTATGTAACATATGACGTGTGGAACAATTTTATATCCACTATAAAAGACATTTGCCCAAAAACGAACGTAAATGATGACTTTGAACCAAGCCATCACTGAAAGAGCTTCTGTTGTAGATTTTAGAAATGTCAATGACTGACTGAAAATATTGGGAACAGCTGCTCTTGCCTGCAACACTAATGCAATAATGGACCAGGTAGGCAGGTGAAAGCTACACTGTAGTTTCAACTATAAATCCACCGTTAGTAAATAAGAGATTTTAAATTAAGTTGGAAGTTGGTCAAATTATTTTCAAGGTTGTTTCATTGTACATTTCCAAACGCAAGGAAAAACAAATTATGTAAAATGTATTTCTCCTGCTCTATTTTGTTTTGCACACATAGATTATGTCTTAAATTTTCAGAAGCAGACGCACATAATAATACACACTCATTACATGCACAATCACAAATGACTGGATGTTAATTTTTAACATGAACTCTAAGCCCTATTTTGAAATAAATGAAGATGTAGCAAGTAGGATATTAATTTATTAACTTTAATATAATAAGTAGACAAGTGCAAGTGAACATAGAGGGATTGAGATTTGGGGATTTGGGACTTAGAGCAAAATATCAAAGAAGCTTGATACTGTGTAACTTCGTATTCAGTATTTGTGAAACACGTGTTCCTAAAAAAGAAGAATGTCGAAGTTTTTTAACCTCATTTAGTTAAGAAACATACAGTACAGGCCTTTTGAAGTTCAGAATGAAAATGGTGCAATCAGCCTCACTTTACCCTCTGGGAGATCTGCTCCAGTAGACATTATCCCAATTGTGCTAGTATTATACTTACAAAAGGAAATTAAGGCTTTAATGTTGGCCAGGAACTTAAGCATATTCATCAAAATGATCCCATCCTGTTTAACAGCCTACCTTTTAAACGTTTAACGTTTGGCCAAAACATCATATCACCAAATTCCAGCTTCTTCCTGGAAGCAACACATGCTATATTCTTACTACCTTTAACTTTATATCCTGACTTTTAGTGTAGACTAGTGTTTCTCAACGGGGGCAGTACCGCCCCCCCAGAGGGCGTTCCGAGGACGATGGGGGGCACTGGAAGGAATATTTTGGAAGGGGGGGCGCTGAGCTGCTTTTGGGGGCGTTTGTTGGTTGGAAATTCTAAGGCGAGTTTACACTTAAGATTCACAGGACTTAAGATTCCATCCCCCTTTCCCCCTTCTCTTGCAGGTGTTGTCCTTTCTCTGTGCTGTCTGTTTGTGCCCCCCCATCCCCGTGTCTGCCCCCCTGTCCGGCCCGGTGACAAATCAATACATAATTAAATAAATAATAAAACAGACAAAGGAGTATTTTAATACTCTCTTGTTAAAGTAAAATCTGTCTGGCACAATATGGTATCCAGGTCATTATACCAGGCTGCTGGGCAGGACAGGTTTAAAAAAAAAAAAAAAAAAAAAAAAAAAACACTTAAGATTCACAACAATTCGAGTTTAAACAAACATCTTTTTGATGGGGGGCGGTAAGGGACCTGGATAATGGATGGGGGCACTGGCCCAAAAAAGACTGAGAACCACTGGTGTAGACCAATGGTTCCCAAACCTTTTTAGACCATTGTCATCCAATTTAACCCATCCCTGAAGGGAGAAGTTGTCGGCAGATGTTGGTTTTAACAATTGAAAAAAAAAAAAGTAACATAAAGTGTTGTTAATGTAAATTATGTTTACCGTGGTTAAATGCGAAAAATGCATTATAAATTAAAAACTGATTAAGACAAATCCTCAAGGCACCCCAGGGTGCCACAGCCCCCACTTTGGAAACCACTGGTGTAGACAATACACTGGTATCATGGAGCTCTAATTGACAGTTCACTAAGCCCCTGCTGCTGCTACACAAGGTATGCAGTTTACAGTGATAATGGTGGAAGATTTACCATTCAAAATTCTTAGTAATTTACAGTAACAGTGGGTCCTTGATTTCAGACAGTGGTAGACAAAAGCAGGTTTCTCGTTTCTATTCCATAACCATCAATTTTGTTCACTCAAATCACAACTGTTGCTAGCAGATTTTTTCAGCTATAGCTAGCAAGCAAATCTGTATTTAGCTGACTTTTTAATTCTTCAAGCTGTTACAAGCATCCTGTAAATAGTGTGTATACGCACAAAAGAGCCTTTTGTGTTTGAACCAACTCCAACACAGTGCGGAAATACTACACAACATGTAGTATGAAATTCTGCTAGATTAGGTTACTACTGTTGGTAGTAAGCCAGTTTGCTGGACATGCTAAATTTTGTAGCTTACGTCAGAGCACACTAACACAAAATAATGCTGTATGAAATTCCACTGGAAGTAGGCTATCGGGTTACTACTGTTGGTAGTAAGCTAGGTAGCCGTAAATGCTAACATTTGCAGGTTAAATTAGAGAAGACAAACACGCTGTTTAATCCATTCTTTACACTTTCACTCTTTTTTTTGGTTTTGGAGAGCATAAAACTTAAATTAAAATAAGTGTGTCCTACCTTTTACATTCTCCTGGGTTATGATTTGTTTCTTTCTCAAACATACACCCACACAAGCAACTCTGGCCAATATCAACCAGTAGTAGGAGACAGTAAATCATGTCCTGTGTTTTCTGATTGAAGGGGATGTTCGTTGAAGTAGATACAGACATCCGTTAATCTGATAATTCTCCCTGTGTGGGAAACCAAACCATTGTGACGTTGTGTGTGCGTTTTTGTACTTCAGGGGATATGTTAGATGTAGCCTTCATATTTTTTAGTATGTGCTCTAATGTGTACATGGTTTGGGAAGTGTGTGAGGGAGAAAAAAATTATTTATTTGAGAACTTAAAGTGTAAGCCAACATTGGGTGGAGAGAATGTGCAAATATTTGTAAATTGCATTAGAGAGCGACACACGTTCTCTCAATTTCAATGTATGTGTGTGTGTGTCTGTTAGCAAGTGCAACGTGTGTGTGTAAGTGATGGAGTCTGTGCAGCATATGCGTGTGAAAGCTAATTGCTTCCAGAGGCAGGATGTGACATGATGAGTCCCTCCCTCTCTGCTGATCTGGCACACACACACACACACACACACTACACAGGAGAGTACTAACAGTTCACCCTAACAGACCCTCTCACTGAGTAGAGCCATAAAAACATGAATACGCTTTTGGGCCACAGGGGTGTGTGTTAATATGAGTGTGTGTGTGTGTGTGTGTGTGTGTGTGTGTGTGTGTGTTTGCAGTTGTAAGCACTTTTGTGTTTTTTGGTTTCTGGTTAGAGGTCAGGAATGTTTGATATAAAACTAAACATCCACACACAAAGTATGAATACAATTAAATAAGTATTTTTTTTTCCCAGTAGAAACTGAATTATTAAACCAACTGACCCTTCACTAAGCCACGCCCCTTTTATCATGGCGCTGCCTCTGTCTATTACTTCACTCCCTGGAGAAATATGTCAAAATTTTGGATAAAACTATCTCAGAATGAAGAAGATGGTTTTGCAGTTGCATTGTGCATTTGAAGGTTTTATTCAGGCTGTCAAACTGACTTGAAAAAAATAAAGACAGAAGCTAAAGCCTACATATCACAGTATAAAAGTGAACCACTGCATTACCTGACTATTGAGAAAGAGGACAACAATATTAAGGATCAACACTGTTCCTGTACGGCTGGGTAGGTCTCTAGTCACTATTACAACCATTTAAAAACAATAGGGATTTATAACGTTACATTTAGTAGTAATTTGCTAGCATTAGCTAACTAACGTTACATTAGAAACAAGAGACAGCCTACATTTTTCTGGATTTGTTTTAGGTTTTGGAAAGGGAATGAATAGAACTTCTCCTTTCAACCTCTCTGGGTAGTGATTGTAATTATTTCAAGTGCCCTTAAGAACAGCGTTTGACCATATCTTGGAAAAATACAGCCAAAATAAGTTAGCTAACGACGCATTTTCCATAAGAGTAAATGGAGCTCTGCCATGAAAATGTCGGACCTCAGTTAGAGGGAGTCCTATACTGCGCTGTGATTGGTCAGCTGTGTATTCGGGGCGTAGCTTATTGAAGGGTCAATTCTATTGAATCTTCTGTCTGCATTCTAAAATATTGCACGTGCAATTGTATCTTATGGGTGATCAACTAAGAATTATTGCATAGATGACAACAGGTGCAAACACAATAGAGGTGGCAGTATTTAAATGAGGGTTTTGCTTGTTTTAATGGTTTCCGTCATGGAGAGTCGGAAGGGAAAGCAGCCACCGCGTAAAAGTCTTGGTTTATTTCTCTGCGCAGCACTTGGCGGTTTGCACTTTCCTTTCAAACAAATTAAATACAGATGCTGTTGCACTCACATGAAATTGCTTTTAGGCTTGTTGGATCACATTGTGTGTAGTAAATAAATGTATTTGTATTTGTTACCCTTCTATTACTTTGCACTATAAAATTGAAATGCCCCAAATTGCATATTCATTAAGGCAAAAGTTATAAATGAACAACAGGTGCTACCTTCCACTTTTGGAAGACATCATTCTTCGTGCACACCATTAGTAGATTAGTAGACACCTTACATGTTAATTTGCTGTGATATCAAGTTTGCGCACATTTTTACTCACGCAAACCTTTAGTAAATCTGGCCCAGTGTGGTGATGTGACAGTGTGGCTTTAAAAACATTTACACACACATACACACAAACCACAATACCTGTTGGCTCCATGGCTGACATGGTATCCCAGACCTCGTCACATTCGCACTGCCTTGGTAGAAACGGCCTCTGTCATCATAACATGTTGCTGTTCATACCAGAACAGAATGGATTTAGGATTAATATGTTACCATCTAATAAATAATCAAGTCATTTCTGTGTGAGATTAGTTCTGATGACTGGATACATCTTTGTTGGTACTTAAACTCTTTTTACACTTACTTGTAATTTGGTCTCTCTTGATGTCTGAAATGTAGAAAAGAAGAGGACAAAATAAGATAGATTAAAAACATTATTAATAAATAAAGAGGAAGGAAATAATAAAGGAGAAGCACAGCTATGAAGTCATCTGAATAAAAAACATTTCATGGGGAAATCAGCGCACCACTTCAGGTCAATTCAGTACAGTGATGATTATCTTACAAAGCAAACATGCAGACTACTGCCTAGAGACTCGAGTCACACACCTGCAGCTGCATATTTTGGCCCAGCTAGTCAGACCCTCTTAATGACCTCATCAGTATCAGTGACCTGCAGTCTAGCAGGCCAGGCTTTATTTGGCTATCTGCATACAAGTAACTGCAGCCAGCCAACTGCTGCTTTACTTTCATGTAATTTCCTGTCTGCTTGTATGCTGTGCTCAAGCTGTTAGATTTAGCACATTCTAGCAAAGTAATTCAATAAATCAAATTTATTTATTTATTTTTTTAAATGTAACGTGAAGCATAAAGTCAATTGATCTTTTCAGTGTGTTAATTAGTCTTTTGTTTTCTTCTGTAACACACTACATTCTGTAAGCCGGAAACAAACTCATGCATATAAACCTTTTTGGATTATTTGCGGGGGGTTTTCTCAGTAAGTGATATCTTACCCACAAAAGGGACATGTGTACAAGCCTCAGGGTCTGTGCGAAGACTTGGCAAGCTCTGACAGTTGGGCAGCAGTGAACTGGGAGTGTGGGACCCAGGGACAGAGCTGAACAGGCCCGGCTGGACTGAACTGCTGCCCTCCAGTACCAACCACTCCTTATGGCAGTACAGCTCCTTCACTGCCAGGCAGTGTTCTCTGTTTGAGAAACAAAAGAAATACATGATGATGCTCCATTTATTGATTAATTATTTTTGTTAATTTACTTTCTAAATGTATCTCCTCCATCACTTCTTGTTAATTTATTCAATTCATTCATTTTTTCTTTGACTCATTCATTTGTATATATTAACAGGTGAAACAAAGAGCAAAAAGACACATAATGCTACCTGCAGACAGGTTTAGGTGCCGGTCCTAACCCTGATGGGTTGCAGTCAGGGAAGGAGGAGTGGCAGAGCAGTGAGCGTATAGCAGGGCTACAAAGCATACTGAGCCCTTCCAGTTCCGTCCACCAGCTCTGAACCAGGTACTCCTGCATGTCCTCGGGGTCCGAGAGGGAGGAGTTAAAGAAAACCAGCAAATCATCTCGTAGAATGGTGCGGCAGACATCTCCACGATACGCACTGCAGTAGCCTGTGACGCCCTTATAGAGTCTGTGGTAAGAAGATGCACATAAATAGCCACACATTTAGTACAATTTGTATGTGCGAATATATCTGAACCACATCTAGATAAAGTCAAGCTACAATCTCTCAACCTCACTGGCAGTGAGGAGAAGTTGAACTAGGAATGGGAAATGGCTTAATTTACTGTGTCAGTTATTAAATTAATGAAATTAGCAAAGGACAGTAAATACCCCTCAACACACAGGGATAGTTCACCATGGCACTGCCCTTCATCTGTAATACTATTGCCTGGACAAATTTGTAATTTCTGTGGAGGTGTATTGTCCAAAAAAGAAAGTGAAACAGTGAGAAATAGATGCCATCAATGGGCCCTCAGTCGCCTAAGTCTTTCACTGCTTTGGCTTACAGTTAGTGAACTCGTGTGGAGTTCATTAACTGTTTGTCCACTACAAACAAAATAAGAAACGCTCTACTTGTATCAACTGAAACATCCTTTTAACACTGTCCAGATGTTGATCATGAAACAGACTGTGGAAGGAAATGAATGAAATTATATCCTGTCCGTCTGCCTGTTGGAATTCGTTGTTGCCTCTAGATTGAACCGGTTGGTCATCCACACATACATATATACATACGTCATTAACCTGCCCGTCTATCTACTGGGACTCTTTGCGTCCCTGCCTATCTTTTTCCCAGTTTCCCACTCTGTCTGCCTGCTCTTATGTCAGTTTGTCTTTCAGCATGGATATGATCCACATCCTTGGTCTTTCTGCCAGCCTGCACGTCTGACAGCCTTCACTCCACATTTCTCTCTGGCTGCAAACACTTACAATCTCCAGATGTTGCCTCTCTGGGAGATTGGCGCTTCGGCGGAGTTCAAGTCAAACCATCAAACTTAAAGCTGACCTGTAAATCCATCATCCCACCGTGTTCTCCTTCTCTTTACCATTTCTCTATGTCTCTCTCTCTCTGCTTCTATATCCTATTAATATATGGCCCAGATGTGGTCATGAGTTGGCAAATCATGTAAGATCTAACCATTAAGCCTGATCCTTTTGTCTTCTGTGATCCTGCAAAATCCACAGTCTCTTTCTTCATTTTTACCTCAGAAATTCTCATCAGGCATCCAAAGGCCAACGTTTTCTCTTTCTCCTACGTGTCTCTCTTTTTCCCCTTCTCTCTTTCTCCCCTTCTCTCTTTCTCCCCTTCTCTCTTTCTCTCTTTCTGCAGTTACAAAGTCCAGATGTGGTAACTGGGGTTGTGTTGTGGTTCAGCAAAGTTCATTCAACTCACACCATATGGGTGACTGAGAGACTGAGAGAATCCCTCTTGGCACTGCAGGTTTATTGAGCTAAAATGCATTTTGTCTTCAGTAGACCCAAAGGAAGCAACAGTACTTAGTCTCTTTAAACACAGTGCAAACACAGCTGCTTATCAATATTGAATTTAGTGACAGGCAATGTGCTGTGTAGTTTTTATGATTCAAGGTGGTTCAGCTTGGCTGAAACACTTTTTGTGTAAACCCATGAGAAATAGCATTTAGAAATAAAACACAGAGCATTTCTCTTACCTCCACTCTACAGGGAAGTGACAATATCCAGAAGATGTCGGATGAAGGGACACAAATAGAAGGAAAGGGCAGAAGAGGGGAGACAGACAGACAAGAGAAGGAAAAAATACAAAAATCAGTCTCAGCAAGAAGAAAAAACCAACCATCGTGCTTCTCTCACCAACTCATAGCTAGCTGTGATTAAACTGAGGGACAAACAGGTGGCTGGACAGTGTGTGTGGTCAGGGAGGAAGGGGTGCTGGTGTGTTTTTTTAGGTGACTGTGGTCAAGGGGTGTGTTGGCGAGTGTCGTCAAGGTATCAACCAAATGGAGGGGGACAACAAACAGCTGAAGCCACACAGAACACAACTAATATAAATGGCAGCTAACATAACTCGAGACAAAGCAGTAGCAATGCCCTAATACAAAGAGACGGAAGAGCTACAAGTATCTAGTTGGTTTTCCACTGATTTCAGAGACAGAGATTTTGGAATGTGTGATATCTTGATTGGAAATGAAAACGTGTCACTACCTGCGACGGTGACTTTAGCAGTTGCCTTGACAGTGTTGGCTCCAGCACTGTGTCTGTTGGAGGCCAGACATGTGTAGAGAGCGGGCTTATTCACCGTCACTTTAAGAACGGACAGGATCACCTCTCCAGTCAAAGTCTCTTCGACCGATGCCCCTGAGATCTGGGGGGGGGGGGGGGCATTGAGAGAAAAGGAAAAGGTAGCAGTAATGTATCATCATGCAAGGACAAATTGCACTTACAAATATACACAACTATATTGGCTTTTATAGGTTTTTGTCAACCTGACTACTGATACTGTCTCATATAAAGTTATTTTAGCAAACTTGGAACTATTAGATTATTTTAGATTATAATAGAAAGATTTATTCATCCCAAATGGGGAAACTCAATTTCTATCAGATCACAACAACATACAACAAAAACAGAAAAGGCAACCATTGCGTGCACACAAGACAAGAAATAAACCCATTAAAAGCCTTCTGCTTTTAATTGTTTGTTTTTTTTAAAGGAACTACTAAGTGTCTTAAAGACACTGTGGATGGTCTAAGATCCATGATCTATTTAAAAATTGAAAAGACACAGAGAACATTAGCAATCATTTGGAGTTGTGTTTCAGGCCACCTGATCTTTTTAACTCTGGGTTGGGTTTTAAATCTGGCTCTGCATATATGAAACAAATATCCCCCCCTAACTTCCATCATGAAATAAAAAATGATTAAAAACATTTAATATGAAAGTGCTCATACACTATTCATAATATACTTTCAAGGGTGTTGAGTTGTTAAAAGTGCCTACACTATGTGACTTGCATTAATATAACTACTTGTAGTCATTTAGAGGATTTAGAAATTTCTGGTATTCACACTGGGCGACGAGATAAAATGTTTTGTTTGTATTCTCACTTACATGTATATAAATGATATATGTGAGAGCCTGTGAGTATGTGTGTGTGTGTGTGTGTGCGCGTGTGTGTGTGTGTGTGTGTGTGTGTGTGTGTGTGTGTGTGTGTGTGTGTGTGTGTGTGTGTGTGTGTGTGTGTGTGAGTGAGTGAGTGAGTTTGTTAGTCATGGTGCTGATGTGCAACGGGTCTATATTTGAAGTTATGTCTGACACCGCCTGTTTTTAGGACGAGCTCGATTAATGACTTCAACTAGCTGCCAGAAAAGCAGCTCACACATGTCATTTTAATCAGCACGCACATACATAGCATTTACCAGCATTATGGGCCTGTAAACACGTTGTAGCTAGCACCCAAGACTATTAAAAAGCCAGACATTGTGTGGTGTACGTCTGCCTCCAATGGCAATCGTAAAAAAATGTCTGCTGCCTAGTTTAACCTTCTCTGACATTCTTAAAGTGTTCCGTGTGTAACGTCATGTCTATGATTAATTTAACCATCACAATGACACATGTAAACATGAGATTATTAGACAAAATGTACGCATCATAAAAATTGGACACTTGGCACTCACAAAATAGGTTTCAGTTATGGTGCTTGTTTAAAAGATTCATCAGCAGGTACCTTTATATCTCCTATAGTTATTTTATCTTTTTATGAACTCTATATTCATCAGCCCTGTGTAACAGCTAAATACCCCAGTCAGACCCCCTTTACAAGTCAACAGTTAACACAAACCATTCAACACCACAAGAACCTTTGTGCTTGCTCCCTTAAAAAAGACAACCCAATTAAAGCTGATAACACTGTGTATCACTGGCTAAATGGAAGGCAATCTCTTCAATCCTCTGTCACCATAATGAGAATTCCATTGCTGTTTATATCACTGATCCCACAGCCACTCTATGAGTGCATTGGCTATGTGTGTGTGTGTGTGTGTGTGTGTGTGTGAGACAGAGAGAGCGGGGGATAAGTGCTTCCTTGAATGCGTTGTTGTTTGCATTCGGTATACTTACTGTATGTGTGTGTGGACGTGTGTTCCTAGTATTCTGGTTTCCCTATTTCCCCTCGCTAATGCACGTAACTACAATACTATGTTTTGTTGATCAAATATATCAATAACACCAGTGTGTTGATGCAGAGACGTGCAGCAACAGGTGTCTCAAAAGAGAAGAACGTCAATTAGCCTAAACCACTTAAGAGCAGCGCAGGTTGCTTCTGTAGACCAAAAAAAACAGAGATCCACTGGGAGAACTGGTACTGAATAAGTCATAGATTTGTTTCCAAATGTACAGTGGGTCAAGCCAGTAAATTGTTGTGTCTGTTCTTTGGATATGCTTGCTAGCTGGGAAGCGTTTTGCTGCTAATATGACAAAATAGACAATGCTAATGTGCTGGTTGCAGGTATAAGCCATTAATCTACTAAATAGCTAGTTATATTGTATTCTTTAGAGCAGTCCAATATAGTTTAATCTCAGATGTATATGAAGATTTGTGAAGATGAAGGTTTCATAACTAAAACTTAATGGGACTGTAAGGCATGTTGGCTTTCTACTCTGTTATTGTCGCAGCTTTCACATTATGTAAGACTCTGCAGCTGACAATGTGTCACAATGTCAGCTACGTGATGAAATTTCTCTGATGCTGGCTGTGTTGACTTGACATTTGAGCCAAACTCAACCACTGTGAAGGAGACAAGAATATTCCTGCAGAGATCACAAGCATTAATGAGAGACAAAGTGGACCGGGCATAGATGGATGGATGGATGGATGGATGGATGGAGATGCCACCATAAACAATGTCATCACTTTGGATTGGATGCTTTTTGACCCTGATAGGGACACATTTATGGACTGAATTCAAATATCAGCATCAATAAAGGACGAGTTAAAAACTCATTTTGGTCAACCCCAAACACTTGCTTTCACACACACAAATGCACATTGAACCTGAACACTTACAGTGTTCCCATTTTCCAGCCAGGTGATTGTGGGGATTGGATTTCCTGTGGCGTTACACTCCAGGGAAATCTGGCTGCCATACGCGACCCTCTTCTCCTTAGGAACCCGCAGGATTCGTGCTGGAGCTGAACACGGAGACACAGTGTGGACATATAAACTCACATACTGCAACCAAACTATTGTATTCCACTGTTTTGACAATTTACAATTTTAAGTACATATGCACATACTAAGCATAGAGAGTGAAAACACATTTAAATACATACCCTGTACCTCTATGCTGACAGGCTTTGAAAAGGCCAGACCAAAGCTATTCCTGGCCACGCAGCGATACTGTCCTGCATCCTCCTTCTGTATGTTGTGGATCTTCAACGCACCATAGTCAAGAACGGTAACACGGTCACTGACCTGGGAGAGATTTGCTGGAATTATTCACCTTTATAATATATAAAAAAAAAGTTTTCATTTGCTTTCAAGCTGTTGTTAAATTAGGTGAAGATTGTTAATTTGTCTATAGAACATAGAAAAGATTTAAATTCAGGTATGATGTAGGTGTGATGCAAATTAGCGACAAAAGGCATTAATGAGAAACCAGGGCTTGAAAAGGGTTCCTAGGTACGTATCGAATATGCACCAACAGGCATTGGGGGAATCCATGAGCTATCTTGGCTTGCAGTCTGAAAGGAAGAGGTGTGATGCGAATTTGCGACAATCAGCATTAACATTATTATAACATCTTCTATCTATCTTTTATCTAATGCTATTGGACACCAGAAAACAAGCCAAAACATAGGACATTTTGAGCTCTTATGTGTTCATTTACAGTCTGGATATTTTTACAGTCTGGACCCATTCCATGTGCAGGTGAGACATATACAAACACTCCAATGACTACCTAACTAAAGCTAAATCAGTGAAATGTCTCATGTAGCTGGAAAACATCCACCAACTGCCTGTTGTTGTTCAATGTTTTGAAGGGAAAGAAGTGCATGCCTTGATAAGCTCATCATCTTTGAGCCAGGTCACATCCGGTTTGGGGTTGCCGAGGGTAACGCAGGGCAACACTGCTTTGGATTCTACCAGAAGGGTTACATTGGTAGGATGGCGCTTGATTTGTGGCTCTGATGTAGAGACAGACAAGACAAGAGAGACAATATTTTGATTAAGCCCTTTGTCTCAGTGCTACTTTGAGTGTGTTGTTCTTAATGGAATTGGACCATGATCTCAAGATTGACTAGACTCCAGTCGTACAACCTTGGAAGAAAGCAGACATACTCATCTTTAGCTGCAGCGCTCCACAGCTCTTGGCTGGCTCCCCAATGCCGTTACTGGCGAGGCAGCAGTACTCTCCATTGTCTGACTCTCTTACATGAGGGATCATTAGCATCTGTCCCTGTTCCCTGGTAATGTACCGGGGGTCATAGTACCTGGGGGGGGGGGGGGGGTGAAGCAAAGCAGAGTCTGATTGTGAGCAGAAGGGACCAGTGGACTTCTTAACATACTTTACTTTTTATTTGTCTTAAAATATTAAAAGCTTTAGAAATATAGGCTATTCTTTAGACAAAATGTGTACCAAACACAGAACAATCAATATATGTTTGTATATGTATGTGACTATCAATGTTTGCAGGCAGCTGGTATTATTTATGTTTTATTCTTGCAAATGTTAGCATTATGTCCAAACATTTTACCAAATTGTTTTAATGTTAGCCTAGCTGCTAGTGTTACATCCAGTATTTTATCATTTATTGCCAGTGTTAGCCAACAGTAGCTAATGTTGACACCATTAACATAGAAACTGCTTTAATGTTTGCCTTTTGCTGTCCAACTTTAGCAGCTAATTTCACTTACTTTTTATCATTTAACTTGTGGTTGATTTAGTTAGAGGCTAATGGTACATACAGGTATTAAATCATTTTTGTCTATTTTACATTGTAATGGTCATTTAGTTATTGACACTGTATCGTGTTATTGTCATCTTAGCCTTTCAGTTAGAAGTGTTTTTGATGTACTTTTTGCTAGTGTTAGCTAATAACAGCTAATGTTGACATTACTAACATTTTTAGAATTTGCCTGAAAGTGAACCTTTTTGACACTAATATGTTTCATACCTCAGTGGGAAAGCGCTGTTTGCATCAAATATATATGTAGCCAAAATAAAGATAAAAACAAGTATTTCACAGATTACCATTGAAGCTTGTGAGATTCCTTAATGAACCTGCAAAGGTAGATTCCTAGAAATATTAGTTGCTGAATAATGAAAGAGGTTAAGGTGTGAACTTACATTATTGGGTGGTTATTCTTGGTCCAAGTGATTTCAGCAGGGGGACGGGACTCCACCTCACAGATGAAGGTGGCATTGTGATCCAGTAGTACATCCAGTGTCTCTAATAAGGTGATGATACGAGGAGCTAGGCAATGAAAACATGAAGACTTTTGTTACAACACAAGAAATCCATCCCGAAAATCTTTTCTAAGTCACTGACAGCATTGATATAAGACTTTTTAATTTTCTTTAAACTACAATACACAGCCATCACGCTTTATTATGCATTGGCACTGAAAATGCCATTGAGCTGAATCACTGTTGTCAGGGAAGTGTAAACAGCTGCATATTTTCAGCACTAAGTATTTGACATTCTTGGCATTCCTGTTTTAGATTTGAGTAGTCTGTTTCGGTCACTCAGCATCCAGCTATGACTGCTGACTAATGGGACAGAGGTTTTAGGGTTTGTTAGCAGGACAGGAGAACAGTGACCGCGAGGGGAAGGCGAGTCTGTTTATTGGTGTAATGACATCTGAAGCATTTGGGATTTTAGTATTGACAGAAAACATAAGGAGAAAAGTATTAGAAGGAAGTAAGGATGACAGAGAAGAAAAGAGGTGAACTCGAGCTAACATTTTGAGGTTTGTTATGGCTTTATTTCTTTATTCAAGCAGAAGATGAAGCAAGGACAGTTTCATTTAACCCCTTGACGCCGATTGTCGCAAATTCGCATCACACCTCTTCCTTTCAGACTGCAAGCCAAGATAGCTCATGGATTCCCCCAATGCCTGTTGTCGCTAATTTGCATCACACCTACATCATACCTGAATTTATATCTTTTCTATGTTCTATAGACAAATTAACATTCTTCACTTAATTTAACAACAGCTTGAATGCAAATGAAAACACAAATAATTTAAAAAAAAATTTTTTGTAAAACAATTCAGGCGTCAAGGGGTTAAGGTTCAAGGATAGGCTCCATTCCCAGTGCTCACACTGTTCTCTACTATCCCATTTCAAGAGATGGTATTTGTTAAAAGGAAAGTGTGTAAATTAACAGTTTACAGTTCACTGCATTTACAATTATTAAAATTATCAAAACCACCTGCCACCTAATATAAACCTGGTGAATCCAGAGTAAAGATGTGATCAATATTTGTTTCATGCATATAGTCAGCTTCAGTCATGAAAGGGAGTAGTAAGAAAAAAAGGAGAAGAGGGATTATTTTTAGACAAGTGAGACACAGGTTAAAAGGAAGGCAACTCAGTATTAGTAAGGTAGTCTGATATTTATTTTTTTACTCTAGTGAATATATTGACAAGGAGAAAATAAGAGGGAGAGTAAAAACAAACAAAAAGACATGTTGAAAGGGAAAACCCATGGAAGAATATAGTAGTATCACAGGGGTGAGGCAGTAACTGTTTATATGTGGATTCAGATCAGAGACATCAGGGTTGCTTTAAACTTTGTATGAACTAAGAAGAGAACAGAGGAGAGAAGAAGAAGTCAAAACAGAGGAGGGGAAAAGGAACGGAGAGGAAAGTGAAGAAGAAAATGAAAGGAGGATAAAGGAAAGGATCAGGATTTAAAGAACATTATGCTTGTTTTGTCTCTTGTGAAACAAAGATTTCACAATAACATAGCCTCCCTACATGCCCACCCCAACCCTAGGTCACTGCTGCTGTTTGACTCATGAAGGGGTGAAAGAAAGCTACTGTAAATCAAACTGAAACCCTGGTATGAGGTTAAACGTTGGCTTGAAACTATTTTAGCCAAGGTCAAAATAAGGTGAAATATCTCACTAGTACCTGCTTTATAAAGTGATTTCCCATTGTTATTTTTAGCCATGCTAGCAGCATGGCTCTATGAAAGGCAACAGTGGTGTGTTGGTCAGGATGTCCACCACAATTAATGTTGTACAGACATTCAGGTTTCCCAGAGGATGAATCCTAATGACTTTGATGATCCTCTGACTTTTTAGAGGCATCATCAGGTCAGAATTTTAATTTGTGCATTACTTTGGTTTATGCCCAAATACTTGAAAACTATAATGACATCAGCCTCAGCTAAATAGTTTTTAGCATTAGCATAGAGTCCTCTGAAAGTCAGAAAATACTTACACAGATTCAATAATAATGTTGACTGTACTTGCAGCACATTATAGTAGAGCCTGGGTTTTTGGAGTGGGTTAGTTGCAAAATGTCTTTTCCCCCACTATGTTAGTTTTGCTATTGCCAATATTATGTCTGACCAGATGGACAACATCTGAAGAGTTTCACTGTGACTCATGTTTAAAAGAGAGCCTCTCTGGATTTGACCTTGTGAGAGGTTCTTGTTTGGAAATGCTGTTTGGACACCAGACATGATACAGGGCTGTCAAGGTCCTTAGAGGAGGCCAATTACAGTGATCCCATCTGCTCTCTACATATGTTGTAAAAACCTTCTTGATCCGAACCAACTGCCTCTTATTATCGTTTGCTTTCCTTATTTTTACTGTTTGTGGTTTCACTCCATAACATAAATATATACATTTGCTGGTGTGCAGCAGAAAACGTCTCGGGTTACGTATGTAACCCTGGTTCCCCGAGAAGGGGAACGAGACACTGCGTCGGTTACGACACTATGGGAACGCCTCTAGGCGAAGCAGGTCTGAACGTGAATGAAATCACTCCAATCCTATTGGCTTGTTGCTAGAACGGTAAGGTGTGACGGAATAACCGGAGGAGTATAAAGCACACCTGTACACACTCATCATTAGCTTCAGGCGGGGAGAGAGGTGCGGCGGGCCGACGCAGTGTCTCGTTCCCCTTCTCGGGGAACCAGGGTTACATATGTAACCCGAGACGTTCCACTTCGAGGGAATTCGAACTGCGTCGGTTACGACACTATGGGAACGAGATACCCACTAAACCGTGCCGAAAACCCCGCCTGCCCCAGTGTGCAATAAAGTGGCACTACTAAGAGGAGAGCGCACGAGTGCCAGGTGCCGAAGGAAGGTCAAGACTGTAAACCGAATGAACGTGTGCGGAGTGGCCTAGCCAGCCGCTACACAAATATCCTGCAAAGAGGCCCCGGAAAGGAGGACTTGAGAGGCCGCCATGCCTCTGGTAGAATGAGCCCTCACAGCCACAGGTGAAGGCAAACCACGCACCTGATAGGCCAGGGAAATAGTCTGAACAATCCAGTTGCTAATAGTATGTTAGCACAGCCCTGGGGGACCCAAAACACACTAGCAGCTGGTCAGCCTTCCTCCAACGGGAGGACCTCTGAGTGTAAATACTCAGTGCTCTGACAGGGCAGAGCAGATGAAGTCTCCCGTCCTCCGCCGTCACATGAGGTGGAGGATGAAATGCCTGCAGCACTGTGGACCCTGCCGCACAAGAAGGCACTTTAGGGATGTATCCTGGACGAGGGTGCAGGATAGCCCTAATATTCCCCGGGGCAAACTCCAGGCTTTGCAGGGAAACCGAAAGCGCTTGGAGATCCCCCACCCTCCTCAGAGAGGTGATAGCAAGGAGAAAGGCCATCTTGAGGGTCAAGTGCTTAGCCTCAGCTGACTCCAGGGGTTCGAAGGGGGCCCCAAGAACCACCGCCAGATCCCGAGTGGGAACCTTGGACCGAGTCGCAGTTCTCATCCTCCGGGCACCACGGAGGATCCGTGTGGACGGGGTCCTGACGCTGAGGAGGGTCTCGACTGCTCCGGCTGTTAGACCCGCCTCTAGGTACTGTGCCCAAATGTATTTTACAACAGATGCCATCAATGTTAATTATTATTACTTTTAACTTGCATCTTTTCTGTGTTTGTTCATTTCCTCCAGTACCCAGTAGGTCTCTGTCAACTTTTAAACCATCCTTTGGTTCCTTTGGTGTTTGCTTTGATTTGCAGTTCATCCTCTAGGATTTTTTCCCTACTTTGAAACAAATTGTAAACAGTTTTCTCTCTGACTCATGCAGACCAGATACAAGATTTTATGTTCTTCTTTTTTTTTTAATTGATAATTTCATTATGGTCAAACAAGAGCAAACACAAAAATAGTATTGTTCTCGTGGCACGTCATGTCTGCTAGGGAGTCATCCATTGTTTGTAGAGGTTCGGTTCACACAGACCAGCTGAGCAACATTAAACACCCTCTTTAACCTATCACAATGCCTTTAAATGCATAAGTGGTCTTGATTCACGCTTCTAGGGCATATTTACAATAATACTGGCCTCCGGCGTAGTTGACTAAAAGACATTGTGCTTTTGACAGAAAATGTTGATTCTACATGTATTTGTCTGCAGGAAAGGAGGTGTAATATTGTTTTGGTTCATGCTGTCACTAGTTGATTAACATTCATTTTAACTGTTTGTTCACACTCATTTCAAATGAAATCAAACACAGCAAATAAAAGACAGCTCAGCCTAGCAGAACACATGAAAGTGAATCCTTTTGTGACATCCATCTCAGCTTTGCTCAACTTCACCCACGCCTCAGAGCCACAACAAAGAGGCAATAATAATTATATAATAATGCATTTTACAGCACTTGTCAATCCAGAGTTGCTAAATATTCGTTTGTAGCCACAGCTTGTAAAACTGTCCTCACTCCAGTCACGGGTGATTACATTAGATCTTGAAAACCCAAACCTTGCTCGTACTCGGTCCCTCCATTTTATTTTAGTCTAACAGCGTTTTTGCGTTTTTACCTAGCTTTACTGTGAAGCTGGGAGACAGCTGACTCTGTCCAACATTAAAAACTACTGCTGACTAATTAACACATACAGTATCTTGTTTGTGTAACCAGTACATTCAAGGACATTTAAAAACATCAACTTATGGTATTTAGGAGGAATTTCATGCTGGTAATCAAAGCATACTGTATAAGGACTCACAATCTTTACTGTCCAACACACTCTATTACCTTCGGGTACTGAGGATGCGGTAGCCCTGGAAAGAATTCCAATGATTCTGACAATATTGTATTTGCACAACATCGTCATTAGTTGTTTTCTGCTACCATATGAACCTTCCAGACCTCTCAGGTCATCTGTGACAGGCCCGTTTTATGTCCCCAGAGTCAAAACTAAGCATGAAGAAGAAGCGTTCAGTTTTTATGCTCCATATGTCTGGAACAAACTCCCAGAAAACTGCAGATCTACCAAAACTCTCAGTTCTTTTAATTCAAGACTGAAGACTTTTCTTTTAAACCCTGCCTTTTATTAAATCAAATTTAAGGCTTTTGATTAATATCTTACACTGTCCTGTTTTATTCTATTCTATGTTGCTTTTCTGTTTTATGTAAGACACTTTGAATTGCCTAGTTGTTGGAATGTGTTACACAAATAAACTTGACTTTCCTTGCTTAAAGTGTTTGGTAACATTACTGACAGGCAAATCATTTTTCTCACTCGGATCTACAAATTAGTGCTGACAGGATGCCTTCAGTGATTTGGACCAACAAGAAAGATGCCATCCACATTCGTTTCAAGCTTCTAATCACCGATACATTACACAACGCACAGGCCGTCTGCCAAGTCCAGCCCAACACCGTGTCAACTCAACCTAGTTTACCAGCTACAATATCTACCCCGACAGAATGTGACAGCATCTACACCACCTGTTTCTCTGACTGTACTGTACATCTGTACTAATAAAACATGTATTGTATGTCAAGGCCTGTGTATGGAACTGTAAAATTGTGCCAGCATTCGATATGGTACCCATCTCACATGTCCTGAAATCCTGATGCCACAGCTGAACTTGCTGTCAAAAGTCAGCCCACAAGACGTCCATTTTTTCATTATATCTGGACCTTTTATCTTTTCATTATCAATGCGCTTTCATATGGCAAGTGCAAAACAGATGAGAGGTTTATTACAGCTATTGAAGTTGATTAAAGCCTCTGAGTTCGATTACTGAAGAAACACAGGAATTAAAGTTGCATGGTGCCCACTTAGTTTCTGATCATGTTCGCACGGCACGGCTGTGGTGGAGGCGAATCATCTGCAAACAGCAAAGGGAATAACCAGTTCCTAACCACCTTTACAACAGCCTGCAGAGAGGATATGCCAGAATGTAGGAAGGATATAGATTTAGTCACATTTACACTATGTAGGCCTATAAACACCTTCTCCTTTTCCCTGCAGGATGCGGTGGAAAACAGGTGATGTGTACGTATGTGGGGAAACTCAACCTGCATTCTCTTTAGGAAAAGTCTTTACACACGGTTAAAAAAACTCAAGTGCCAGAATAGAGGATGCTCTCCATGATATTTATTTGTTACTTACCTATGCATTGTTGAATATGTTATCTTTAGCCTACTGAGCTTTTCATATTTACTCACACATTGGTGCACATTCAGAGATAAGATTTAGCAAAATCTCTATATTGTAAATACAGCACCGGGCTATATTGCTTATCCATGTCCCTTTTCCTTCTTCTGTTTTGTACATTGTTTACATTTTGTGACACTTATTACTATATCTTAGTAAGCACAAGACAGTTTCTTCTCTTCTATTAATGAAGGCATACAAAAGTCACAGTGTTTTAGGTGTGCAATACTTCAATATGCTTTTGATAAACCTATGTTACAAAACACACTCTTAACAACTCTGCAAGCAAATGAAAAACTCATGTACCTCTCTGTATCCCGTAACTTGAGGTGACCAGAACCAGCAGAAAGAGGATCTTGAAGACTGAAATGGTTTCTACAATCTTCATCCTGGCTCTAGAACGCCTTGACAAATCTTTTTCACCGGTACAGAATAAGCTGGTGGTTAGAATCCCATAGCAGGTAAGGCGATGCTCTTGTTGGTTCACTCGGTGTGTTTCTTCACTGTGTGCGTCTGCGTCTTAGCCAGGGACAGCCATGAGCTCTGTGCTCAACAAGCACCAGCTCAGTCACTCTGTGTGTGTGTGTGTGTGTGTGTGTGTGTTTGTGATGGACAGTGGCAGCTGCTAGCTGTCCTCATGTACAGTCACTCACAGGTTTTGTAGCCACGCTCAAAGCTCCAATGCCTTTAGAGTGTTATCCTCATTCACAGTAATCAACAACAGTGTCAGTCCACTGTTTATTCATCGAAACACAGAAAAAGCTGCATTCAAGGTTCTGCGCTTTAGGGCCATTTTAGTTGACATAAAGTACATTTGTCTCAGTGAAGCTATATACCAGAAGTCCAAAACTCAGAGATAGCAAACATTGCTGCACAAATATAGTACAAATCCACTTTTCAATCACTTTTTTGCTGTCACATATCTCCAATCCCATTTGTATCCAATCTAGTCCAAGTTTCAACTTCTGTAACACAGAATTTTACCCAATATAGGACAGGATAGATTACCAGTCAAATACAGTAAGCTACAATATATGGTATGTGCATCTGAACCTTCTTTTCTCATTAATATGCTGTTTTATATGCAGATAAACAACATTAAAAATATGTGTGAAGCATCACATACTGGAAAACAGCTGTCCATATTTTTACAAAGAAATGTACACACAGGCGTATTCCAACTCGCTACTTAACATGTATTTACTTTTACACTTTGATGCACACACACACACACACAGAGTCCAGGAGACAGCCTTTGTGTCCACCTGTTGCCTGCCAGCCTGTATGTCCTGTTTTATTTTAGGAAAGGAATGGCATTTCAGTTCATTCGCTCCTTATCCATTCTGCTTTGGATGGAGTCAACTATTGTGCTTCCCTTGGCAGGCACAGTTAGCATTACACATTGTTGTTAAGGAACAACTAGCGTTCTAAGACTTTTTCTTTTTTTAATTAGGTTTAACTGTTGGCCTTAACAAAAGTGATATAGTTGTGACTGTTGTTTTGTATGAGGCTTCAATTGTATATTACGGACAATACCATCACTTGTGATAGTGAGGCTGCCGTTCATGATGCCATACCCTTGTCTTTTGTCTTGTCATGTGCCAAAGCTAGTAGATGTAGTTTCTTGCCCAGTGTTTGTCTTTCAGTGGGTCCCTTCCTTTATCCCTTTTATACTGTACATTTGTGCAACTCTCATCTCCCTCCATCTTCATGTCTTAGATCAAACAACGCACGCACATATATATATATATATATATATATATATATATATACACACACACACACACACACAAGCAGACCAGTATATGATTTTAGTAGTTCTTGTTCTTGTTGCCACTTCACACCACTAGGTGGTGCTGCCATGCAAGGTAATTTGTACTTCATGGCAGAATAAGAGTAAGCTTCTTTTTCAGCAGTATTTTTTTCTAATAAATGCAGCGCACCTCCGCATCTAAAACACATCTGAGGATGCAAACCCTGACAAAAACAAAAACAAAACCCATTACATTGTCAAACTACTACTTTGTCATGGACCACTGACTCAGCAGTATAATTCTGGACAACTTTAGTACTGATACTCTGACTCCCTCTGCTGACACAGGTGTTCAACTGCTCTTGAATTAGCACCACAACAGTAAAATGTATATTGTGCAAAACGTTTTGCAAACATGTTTAAAAAGATATTTTATTTATTTAAGAAAAAACTGGATACTGCTTGTGTTGTAGTCTGTTGGAGCCTGCTGGCATAAGGCTTCTGTCCTATGGGATTAATATTCTGCCTTGATTCAAAACTGAAAAAATAAAGCTCTGAAAGCTTGAAAACTCAAAATCTTACAAAAAAAAGTTTTGCAAGATCGAAAACTAAGATTTGCAAGCTTGCAAAATGTAAACAATTAAAAAAATCTCTGCAAACATTATGTTGTTTTTGAGTTTTCCTTCTTCAGAGTTTCAAATTTGTCAGTGTTCTCCCAGTGTATTAATTTGTTGTTCAGGTTTGAAACCTTGTAAATGGTGATCTGAAAACTGGTGTGCAAATGTGTGTGAAAAAAAGTTTTGAAACTCTGAAAATTGAGTTTCAAAAGGGCGAAACTTTATTACATTACATTTGCACTCCTATTGCAGACTATTTTTTCAGAACTGAGTTTAAAACACCCACTTTGCCGAGATACGCCTACACAGTTGCGAGCTAGCGACTCACGTGATTTGTGGCAGTGTTGTCACGCAGCTCTGCTCTGAAACTCAGAAACTCAGACTGAGCGAAAATTAAGTTTCGCAACCTCGGAACTTAAAAAAAAGGCCTGCAGGCAGGGCCTTCTGCTCTTGGCCAAGCTTGGCTGTCTGCTGAAGTACGGTCCAATCACAAGTCATATTTACTGGATAGAGGGATTGACAGACTGCTCCGCCAATGACAGACGCGGACAGGTTACGTGTTCAGGAAGCACGGCTCCCTGGACGGGCTGGCCGTCTCCGTCCAAGCGGTGCATGGATGTGGAAAAGGAATCTGTAAGGGGTAGTAGTTCAGGGCGGTTTGTTCATCAGCGCGATGTCACCCGTGGTGTTGTGTCGGGAGATGCAGTAACTGAACCAGCGGTGAGTAAGAAATAGTATAAATAACATGTAATTTGTTAAGCTATGAGGAGATGGAAAAGTCCGCTAGCCGCTAGGCTAATTTATGCTGCGTAAAATGCTAAACTTACAGTAAACTATCAATGGAGACTATCAACCAGACAAATCTCGACAGTTATTAAGCCAAAATATATGCTTTTGTTAAATGTGATTATTCTATTAAACCACGTTTTATGTGTGGTAGTGCAGTCATTTTAAAGTTGACTTTACTGTAGTTAACCAGTAACAACTATTTGTATTGTTGTTTTTTTCTTAGAAGAAGACATATATTTGTGGACAGCTTCATCCTGGAGTTCATTGTTATTGTCTACAATGAATGAACAATGACCATTAACAGATGGGTTGCCATTCATCAGTTCATCCTCAAAGACACCTTTGGATGTAAAGGCAACTACTTTTTTTATTGAAAACTAAACTGACTCACAATAATCTGATTCAGCTGTCAAATGTTTTTAGGTGCAGCAAATCCAAGCTAAAGAACGATCTTGCGAAACTTTTTTTTGTAAGATTTTGAGTTTTCAAACACTTAGTTTCAACCTTTCAGAACTTTATTTTCAGTTTTGAATCAAGGAAGGATATTAATCCCATACTGTCCCAAGTTGTTTGCATTACATGCATCCAGTAATCCTGTATGTACTTTAATTGTGGGGCATTGAATTACAATGTTTGTCTCATAACAGTAGAACTAAACCGCTGTTTTCTCTTCAGAGAGCATAAACACTAAGGCATGGTTACAGTTACTGGTCACATGTAATAAAGCTTGAAGACAAGGTCCCTGAGTGTGTAGAAATTTGACTTGAAATTTAATGGTAAGAGTCCTGAACCAAAAACAAAGCATGTGAAATAAATTGTGATGTTGTGCTTTAGTTGGCTCATGTTAGATAACGTTAGCTCGCCGGCTAACACCGAGCAGTTGACGTTATCCCGGTGCAAAATACTGTAGTTCAGTGGTCCGCAATAGGCTGCCTGCCTAGGCATAGGCGGCCACCAGCAATAGTATCTGGCCCGCGGCCAGATTGCTTTGATAGCAGAAAAATAGGCTAATTAAATTTATGATGGCTGGTGCTGAAATAGATCTAGCTACAGTTACTTACACAATCACTTCCTGTTAAGTGATTATACCTCTAAAATAAAAGCATGAGAACGTCTTTTGCAGCAATGCTTCATGTCGAGTTTATCAAGAGCTTTTACTTGGAAGAGTTCTCAAGGAAATTCAAGAGTCTCTGGCTTGCTTGACACACCTCTGAAAAAGCGTCAGTAAACGTGCGATTGGATTCTCCTGAATTTCCTCAGGGAAATGAGAAAGTGTCCACAGGTTTATGAATGCGGATCAAACGCCGGAACACGCACACATTGCAGCACATGCTTTATTATGAGCATGTGCAAAAGTGTCCTTTTGTTCAACAAGGGAGAAAAAAAATATCCACTGTGAGTTGGAATTGATCTTACAACCTACCTACGGGGAGTCCCGCACAGTACCGACTGAGCTAAACATATTGTACATATGAATATAAATAATTTGATGTTGTTCTGGCCCACCCTATAACAGCTTGAAAAAAATTGTCCCAATGCCAGACTTATTTGCCGACCCCTGCTGTAGTTATTTCGTTATTTTGCTTTCCACATTACTTCACAAGAAATGATGTAACGGTAAAAAGCAAATGTGGAGCAATTTGTTTATACTAGCCTTGGGCGGCCAGCCGTCTTTAGCACAGATCTAAATTACTGGTGTTTGCTTTGTAACGTTCAGTTTAGATTTATTGTTGTTTTACCAGTACTCAGACCGCAGCTTCTCCACTGTCTCACTTGCTGTAACTTATGTGACCCACATAATATACAGTAATGCATCATAATGGAAGTGTGGCAACAATGTCATTTAATATTCAGTCTAGCTCTCACCGTTTCCTTATCATCCAATACATTTAGCTGTGCTGACATTGCTGAGCCACCGGTGAAAGACTCACAAATAACGTTGGTTACTGAAAAGCAAAAAGGGCTTGTATCACGCTGGCTAAATGCAGCGAATGCACTCTTAAAACCGCTCTTCTAGTGGCCACTGAAAACAACATATTGCCCCTTTAAATACTTAACCCAAAGGTAACATGAGAGAGAGAACAGGAAAGGACCATGGACTGATCTCTGGGGTACTCTATGCCTGAATTGGGTAGTGAAGGATTTCAAAGTTTTTTCAAGGAGATCTAAAAGGGCACCATCTATGGTGAAGACTATGAAGATGAATCTGCTACAGGTGCATCGGGAAAAAAATAATATTGTGAAAAGTTCATTTTCTTCCCTAATTTAAATTTAAAAAATTACGTATAAAGTTAATATATATATATTTGTTTGTTTTAATCTTGATAATTATGGCTTATAGATAATGGAAATCTCCATTCCAAAATGTATTAGAATTTTGGAATAAAACTATACTATAATGTATATATTCCACATGCACAAGGGAGTCAGATAACACACTGACACACAAAAACACACTGACCTCCTGGGCACTGCCGAAGGTGGCCTTGAGCAAGCCCCTGAACCCCCCCAACTGCTCTGAGCGCCGCACTGATTGGCTGCCTCGTCACTCTGAACTCTCTCTGCGTGTTGTTCCATGTGCATGTGTTTCGGACTGTGTGTGTATACTAATAATAATAACACCAGAGTGAAAAAATGAATTTCCCCTTGAGGGATTAATAAAGTATATCTTCTTCTTCTTCTTCTTTCCTGCTGGTTTCAGAAAGCCATATTTTATGACCTATGCCTAAACTAGACAAAGTGTGTTTGAAAACTGAATGTTTGAATGTTACATCATGTCAGTGACTACATTTCAGTATCCTATTAGACCCTGCTACACATACACAAAATTGCAATCTACATATTGTTTTAACACTTGGTTAACAGCAGTCCACTGGTCAGACCTCCCTCTCTCTCTAAACATGCATGCACGCACACACACACACACACACACACACTCATACCCACATAACACAGTTGAGTCATATCTGGTGTCAGTCAGTCAGCCGCCCCTCCCTCCCAACACTGTCTCAACGTGTCCTGCAATAATTAACCAGCTGCTGCAGTGTGCTACACTAGCTCACCTCCTAACACACGCACTGTACTCTGGACCTATCAACAAACACACACGCATACAAACACACACGCAAGGTACAAGTCCTCAAACATGGATTGACCCAGCTTCATTTGTCTGGAGAAGCCTGGCCAGGTAGGAGTGAATGAACGTTTGATCACCTTTCTTTTATGCTTCAATTTGTTTCAATGCAAAATTCATATGACTTAAATTTTAGGTGCATTAACTGTTTATGTGTGTGGGTTTCAATAGCATGAATAACTATTTCCTAATTCTGATAAAATAATGCAACTAATTTTACGGGTCTGCTATACTTTAATTTGGTAAGCAACACACCAGATATGTTGCCTAAAAAAGTTGCCTAAAAGTAGATGTGTAACAGAACCCATTAGGGGGCACTATACTAACATTACCTAGTTTACTTAAGGTCAAATCTGTGCATGTGAGTGAGGAAGAGCATTTGTCCCGTCGTACAAAGATAGAAAGGCAAGGGCGAAAGAGAGGCAGCGAGAGAGAGATTTGGAGTGGCAGGAAGACAATAAAGGGAGAAGCTGGGTGTGTCATGGTGTAACTTGGCAATTTTCCCGCTGGCTATGTTTTTCCGGCTCACAGTTTTATAAAAGCTTGTATCTTATTGCGTACATACACTGCACCCTCTGCTCCGCCCACCACATGCGTGTGCTGGTTTGGCTTTATGAGAGAAATTCATAATGACAGCATGAATAGTTCTATAGCTCACTTCTGATAGTGCCTCTTTGAAAGTTGAGTTCAATCAAGCTTACAATGGCCTTTAATTAACATCTTGCATAGCCTGTATTTGGAATGTATTGCTCTACATTTGAGCCCATTGGTGGTAAATATCTAAGAACTGTCTTGGTTTTCTATCAAGCCTCATGAGGTCATGGTGTAGACTTTTTGCCACCAGTCAATCAAACCTGAACTTAAACACGCATACCAATACCTCGCTGGAAGTATAGTGGAACAACCTCTGAATAGGGGGAAGTGCCCATTGACTTTGCAATGTTGACCATTTATGAGTAGTTCTCTTGTGATGGCTGTTGGCATATGATTCACAAATCACACACACACGCACAAAAGCAATATGTAGACATGCACCTTCTCTGCTGCTCAGGTGTCTTCCATTTTTCCCTGTTAAACGTTTTTCCTTCTCTGAATCAACGGTCTTACAATAGAGGGTGTTGTATGTTATACAATAAAGTCCCTTGATGCAAATTTGTGACTTTGGGTTATGTGAATAAAATTGACTTGACTTGACTGTGCTCAATAACACATACAGTTCTGATGTATTTGTTCCAGGGGATCTTAAAATCTGCATGTTGAGGCTTGAAAGACACACAGTGAAGTGCCCTCATCGGTTCAAGTTAAAGATAAAAGAGAAAGCTGTGAATCTTTGGACTTCTTGCACATGGTGTAATCGGCCCATTAATCCACTCTAACGCTTCTTCAGTGCTTTTTTACTGTATTTATTCTGCAATGAAGAAGCTTTTATTAACCTTCATTAACCTTTTGCAAAACTACATCTGCCCTTCCCCAGCAAAGTCTGTTCAGACACAAACATGGCGTCACTGTGTACAGCCTGGATTTACAAATGAGTAAGTGAGCAGCTCCAAACCAGTAGACGGTAATTGAGTGCTGTGATCAAGTGAATTAGATCCTGTACCTGGAAAGGTGCCCTTGGATCCCTGTTAAAATCCAGACAAATAAAAGGCAGATTTAAGTGTTTCTCAGGCATGCATCATTCAGACCTCTGACCTGACTGACCTCTGTTTATCTTAATCAATTTATCACACAGTAAATTAAAGGATAGAGCTTTAAATAAAAATAGAGAGGTTACATGATAAAATAATATGATGGAAAGAATTAAAATTAATAAAAAATTAAGGGAGCTTATAAGCAAATAAACAGGTAAGCAATGCAATTTGCAGCTAAACAAGTTAGACAAGTTAAAGAGACTAAGTTAAAGATTCCTATCTGAATTTTAAGCTCACTCATCACTTAGTCCCACTCATAACTCTGCCTTTGTTATATGCTTTGTACAGGTATAAGCAGAATACCTTGAGTCAGTAAAGTGTAATATTAGTTCCACTTTCCTCTCCCTAAGCTAAACATGAAACAAACATAAAAAATATGCGGCTGTTCCTAGTACAGTTGCTGCTGTCTGACAAACATTTAGCTTGTTCTTTTCCTGATGATTTTATTGATTTTGCTTAAGTAAAACTTCTGTGCTTAATCTTAGTTGCCACAACCTGTTCACTGCTAGCCATGAACATAACGGTACTTAACATAATGGTACTTATTTAAGGGGTTTATACTGATCCTATACATTCTATCATTATTACTATGTATTAATGACACTTTTTCATTCTGAACAACTAACTTGTAACTTACAGTCGAATTACAAAGAAGGTGTTCTCACTTTTACATGTTTAGAATAAAAAGCACATAAGAATTCATCATATGTTAAACACATTAGACATGTTATCATTATGTGGAATACCATTTCACATGTAATTTTGTGAAATGTAAAACATCACGTGTGATTCCACACGGTCCACATGCCATATTGGCACATGCTTTTTTTGGACAATGACAATGTGGGATTTACTACATGTTGCGTACTGCACCTTTAAATTTTGTTGTTGCTGGTGTAAAATGGTTCATCCCTCTGTACAAGAGTGAGCTGTCAGTCTAACAGGGAGTGGAGGTCTGCTGGGATGACAACTGCTGAATACCTGAGATATTTCTTAGCAGCAAACAGGCTGAGACAGAGAGAGATCGAAAGAGTGAAAGAAAGGGACAAACAGCACAGACTGCTGTGTCATTCAGAAGAACAGAGGGAGAAAGATTTAATTAACAAAAAAGAGAAGCCACATGGATATTCCAACAGGCGCACAGGCACAGGCTTCAGTGTCTCCGACAGAAGAATAAACAAATGGTTGGGTCTACACTGTCATCACTGGTTACTGGGTGGAGTACTGTTATTAAATCTCTTGGAGACAAAAAAAGAAAGTGAAAGAGTAAAGGCACAGCTAGAGAGAGAGCGAGAGAGGGATAAATATAACACAAAAAACTTCAGAGACAGAGCAAGAGAGAGAGGAAATAGATATTTAAAGCGCAGAAAGAAGAAAGACAGAGACAAAGAAACAGATTTAAGAAGAGAGCTCTGATTTGCCATGTTAGAGAAGGTAAGACTTCAATTATATTGTTTATTTTTGGAAGGAGTGACACCGTGCTGGCTGGGCAATTGCAGTGCAGTTTAATTCCTGTGCAGCTCCTTACTCCATGTTGACATAATGCTTCTCAGGTGTCTGTTAAGGAACATCTACAACAGTAACACGCATGCTGAAATAGCATTCAACAAGTCGGCAGATGTAGCCCGTGTGTGTCTATGGTGTGATTACAGTAGCTGTTGTTGTGAATGATGTGTTCATTCATTTTTTTCTCTCTGCAGTAAACAAAGATGACTGAAGCAGCATGTTTCCAAGTGATCCAGGCAGGGGACAGGAGGAAACTGTCCAGGTGGGTCACTTTATATGCAGCTGAGACTTAGTTTTAGTACAGTCCGGTAAATGTTACATATAGACATTAAAGCTGGGGCAGGCAACCTCCCTGCAGGCCTCCCTCCAAAACCACTCCCCCAAAACATATTTTTATGTGTAATGAAGTGCATGCAGGTAGCTATGTAGACAGGCAGGTAGGCCAGCCAAGAATGCAATAATTGACTGTGCTTATTACAGTTCTGCCAAAGCTACAGATATTGATTTATCGATTGCTGTTGAACGTAAACAGAAAATGCTTCTGAAATAACTTGTCTACCCCAGCTTCAATAAGCTCAGTGATAAGCAAACATGATTGTTGTCTTGTTTTCCCTGAAGAGACTATAGCAATTACTCATAAATCAGCCATATTTGGACCATGAATACGAGAACATTACAGTTACATAACTTGTGTGGTGCTGCTCTGTGCTATGTAATGATGTGCAACACCATGTACTCAGTCACTCATTGCTGCTGTTTTCATTGCAGAGCAGAGTTTCTCTCACTGCTGAGAACCTACAACTACTTCCTAAAGGACCAGACTCAGCTGCACCTCAGTTACTCCCAGGTATCTTATAATCGAATTCTTAAAATTTCCTGTTTTGTTTTAAATCAATTCATATTTTCTCCCAGCCAGTCCTGTTACTGCCTCTTGAAGTTTGTCATAACTTTGCTGGACGATTCACAGGAGAGTAGACTGACCATGAGAAGCTTAAGTAGTGTCTTCAGAACTCTTATTTATTAGCTATTACATAGCTGCTTTTGAATTTGGGCCATAAAGTGGGATGTAAATTGGTTTTATGGCCAGAATTATACACCGTACAGGTGTCTGTGGGTCTGTCTCTGTCTGTAACAGGGTGCTGATGGAGTGGTGGTGGTGGAAGGGTTCCTGAACATCTCCTGGGGAGTGCGAAGACCCATAAGGCTGAAAATACAGGACGAAAAGCAGATGATTCCCTTTGCTCTTCCGATTTCGTCTGACCCAACCAGTCCAGTCAGCCCGCTCGAAAACGAGAGGTTTGTTTTTATGTAAACAACAAGGAGCAAAATACAAAGAGCTTTGGAACCTTTGCATTCACAAGCCCATGCTTATCTGGCCATCAGGCTCACACCTCTTTTTGCCAGATATCCATTTTGCAGAAGGAATTGTCATATTTGTTTGACCAGTTAAAACTGGAAAAAGAATAGAACACAAATAAATATGCGGCTCTCTACATGAGAGACACTGAGTATGCTAAATTTCTCCGAGCTAAAAAAGCTCCAAGTAAAAAGTCACAGTGTCCTTCATGCAACATATGATAAACATTTGTGTAAATCAAATGTTTCATGCCAAGATTAAAGCATGTCAAATTTAACCGCCGTTCATTTCTACATGCAGGAAATCCGTTTTAAGTGTCTGGGACAATACTTTCTCTTCTTTGCAGGGGTATGACACGATGGGGAGAATATGTTGACCTTCACCAGATTGATGAGATGGCTGAGACAACACAGGACACAGTGGTCAACAGTCCTTTACCAGGTTGGTTTTTATTTTCAATAATGTTTCTTTTTCTTTCAAAGACATGCAATCAACTCATTGATTGTTTTGAAACCTCATTTTTCACATACAATCGTGATTTATTTTTCTGTTTGGTTTCGCAAAAATGAAACAAGAAAATAGTGTAACACATGTTGAATATGAGACATTTTAGTCATGTGTTTCTGCACACTCCAAAGGCCCAGTTGTTTATGAGACCACCACACTGCGTCATGTGAGGCGTAAGAACTCAGAGCTGGAGGCGGAGTCCAACCTGTTTCGCTGTATGAGTGACGCCTCATTGGTCAAGAGGAGGAAGGGAAGGGGCATGTCAGCAGCACAAAGAGAGAAAGTTAGACAACATCGCTTTTCTATCAATGGACACTTCTATAACTATAAGGTAGGTTTAAAATGTTCTTCCTGCCAAGCTCAATTCTCCTCTCCCTTTCCATATGTCTCACTTTTTCTCTCACTCCCATCTGTGCTGTAGCTCACCAAATATCTCGTTGTTTTCTACAGACCTCTATCTTCACTCCGTCCTTTGGTACTCCAACTAAAGTTCGTATCTCCAGCAGGATGACCACAAACCAGGTCATTGAACAGCTATTAAACAAGTTCAAGGTGAGTCAAAATGCAGGACACATCACTATTGTATAAAAAGGCACAAGAAATATATATATATATATATATATATATATATACATAATTTATTTTTCTATATTTCTACTCCACCACATTATTTGACAGCTTTAGTTTCTAGCTACTTTTTAGATTACTTTTATTATTCATTTTTCATACCTTTCCTGTCCAATTAAAACCATGTATCTCCACATTTGGTGATTCAAAAAACAAAAATGATCCTGCTTTGTAAGCGAAATATACTATTTAAAAAAAGTTGGATACTCTGAACAAAACTGAAAACAGGGCTGAGGTGCAGGTGTGTGAAATTGTATTCATTGAATGCATTAGTGTGTGAAAACTAGTTAGGAAGCAAGCAAAGAAGTCTAATCAGTCAAAGTAATTGATAAATGCTTGAAATAAATAGCTACAAAAAATTTAATTGTGTGAAAATGTACATTACCACTTTTATATAATTAATAGTGTTATACATTTAATACATGTTGGAGTTGATAGTTGACAGGACTGTCAAGACACTTCAAAACAGTATTTGAAGTAGTTACACACATGGTTCGAATAACGAGGGGGATTGGGGGGGTTTGACCCTCTAAAGGTGTGTTCACACTGAAAGTGAAGTTTTCTTCGCCCCTCTTTACTCGCGCGAGTTTGACCGCTGGACACTAAGCGAATAAACATAATCCGCAAATACTACAGCTAAATGAACCCAAAGTAGACAATTTACTGTGATTTAATTGCAATAAACGGATAAAACTGATGCTGAAATAACTACAATATGATGCTGATTTATTTTTGGCATATGAATTCATGCTTTTTCAGGTCTGTCAGCAAGTCAGCAGGACAACAACTTTTAAAATGTTTTCTGAATATAGTTCGGATCAAGCTGGGCTATGCTATGCTAACTTGTTCACAGTAAAGTACAACGATAGCTGGAATAAAGTTACAGACACATATTTTCTGAACTCACCAGGTAGTTCAACTTCCTCGTTTTCTTTTCTCAAAGTAATGTCCAGTCCGAGAAGTGTCCAGCTGCAGCCTGCAGACAAACACGACGGAAGTTGAACTTCCACTTATATTACCTCCCTGAAGCCACCGCACACAAAATGTACTGACATTTATCTTGGCCGCTCTGCACGCGCAGAGCCGTTAAATAAAAACAAATAAGATAAGCGTTAACGTAGTAATCAGTATGCTATAATTATATATTATTATTATAGTATATTAATACTAAAATTCCTGCAAATGTTTATTTATAATAGCCTAATGATAATAATAAAGCAATGTTTCAGTTACCACTGTTGTTGTATATTTTATTTGTTCCAAAGTGATTTTAAGTTTCACAAACCAAGAATATTCTGTACATCACGAGCCAGATGTAACTTGATTTAGGTTAAAACTTTACATTACTGATAATTCAATGCTAGAATAACGGTACGAACACTATCGTTCAGCTGTTGCTGGACATGTCTGCTGTGTTGGCCGCAGCGGTCTGTGTGACTGGGCCTGGGGGAGCTAACCGGCTGCCGGCAAGCTAGCTATTCCTGACAGCCCCCCGAAGAATATTAATCTTACCCTAACCATCACAGGGGTGAATGAAGTTATTGATTGTATGCATGTCGACTGGTTAACCCTATCTGCTAGCACGTTGCCGTAAGGCCGTGCTGTGCAGCCTCCGGTAACATAACTGCAGCTATATAATATTGACACCCGTCGGAGCTTCTAAACTCCGAAAACATTGGAACACATTTTCGATTAGCCGTCAATTTTTGTAAAACTGCTGATATTCGAAATCTACAAAGTTGACTTCTCGCCTCAAAACTTCTCAGAAGTGTATTTAAAGTTCTGTTGTTGGCCTCTAAAGAACAAAACGCTTTGCATTAGGATCTATACTGTACGTGAGCCAAGATTAACATCATCACGTTTTGTGCGCGGTGTCTTCTGGGACAAACCATATTTGGAAGTTCAACTTCCATCAACTTCCGTCACATCTGGTTAGGTCTGCGGGCTGCAGCTGGATATACTTGTCCAGACCACCACACGCTAGGGGAAACACTGTAAGTTAATGTCAGTAGTGAGCTATCTAGCTGCTTTAATACACTTAACTTTCCTACCTTCAGAGTTTTGTAATTAGCATTTATTTTACTTTAAATGTGCTATGTGATGTTAGCTAGCTGATAGCCCACCCTCATTCCACTATATCATTTCATATTTTATGTAGTTGCTATCCAACCCTGGTGCTTAGGCATGAGCAGTGAAATTGAGGATTAGTTATAGTAGATACACATTTTGACATCAATATAGAGTTTATTATATAATTTTAAGTATTTTGTGAGTCTTTCTACAGTAAGCATGATCTTTGTTTTCACTGTCGAATTCAGGAGTTTTACCAGGCTAGGTAAATGTTAAAATCCAGGTTTGTTATTTCACATGTATTGTTTTTTTATATAGTGCCATGGAGCAGGTTTTCACTGTACTGTTTATTATTATTTGGGACCCAAAAATTCCCAATTCCCCAACAGTGTACTGCTTTATTGAACGCAGATTACATTTCATTCACAGTCAACATGAGATATTTGCTAAAAAGAAAGTTAGATATGATAGTGCAGACTGGATTTTATGATAGTGTCTTTGGTTCTGGTGCAACATTGTGTGGATCTGTTTTGAGTGGTCATGATGGTCTGCTGTTGTGTGTCTGACCTGCTGGCAGTTTTGCTGTAGAATAGTGACCTCTGACTAAAAAAGTTGTCGTGTGGTATGGGGCACCCATCAACTGGTGTAATGAATTTGATTTATCATCGTCTACAGACTGCACACATTAGTTAAATGAGAAAGGATATTGTAAGCATTGTAAGATTTTAGTTTACTGAATCCCTCTCTGTGCTGTACTGGGTTTTAATTTTGGCCTGGAAAAAAAAAAGTTGACCCCCCCAGTTGTCACTGTATAATTCACACCCTGGTTACACAACTACAGCAGTACAATGCAACATACACATTAATGCCCCAGAAATATTAATCCAGAAACATCATTTATAATACTAATAGGAACCATTTTCTGCACAATGAGTAATTTTACTTTTGATACTTTAAGTCAATTTAGCTGACAAAACTTTGACTTAAGTAAGGTTTTGAATGCAGGAGTTGTAATGTTTTTACTTCTTAACCCCAACTGGGTGTTCACCCAGTTAATTTTGCTTGTTCAGTCTTTAGTAGATTACACAGCTATTTTCAAAAATTCCAATTAAGACAAAACATTTATTGTTACCAGTTGATATATTATAATTCATAATAATAGACCAAAATATAGACTGTGAAGTATTGTGATTTATTAAATACAAATAATAGACCTCAGACAATCCTTGCTGAACAAGGATTTACAAGGATTGTTCTTCTCTATCTTCTTACAGATAGAGAACGATCCCCAGGAGTTTGCTCTGTACTGTGTCCATCAGAGTGGAGGTATGGTTAGTTTGCAAATCAGACTTATACACAGTAAAAGAAATATTTAGAATGTATTTTAATGTGTAGCATTTGGTGTGTGTGTGTGTGTGTGTGTGTGTGTGTGTGTGTGTGTGTGTATGTTGTCCAGAAAAGAGGAAGCTCAGTAACAGAGACCTGCCCCTATGGGAGCGCATACTACAGGGTCCCTCTGATGACATCATGAGGATCTTTTTGATGGACATGGACGAAGAGGAAGTTAGCAATGATGTGAGTACTCTAGCCCCGCCTCTCGAGGGGCTGAGGTAGAGGTAGTAATATTAAAACATTGTGCACACTGCTTCGTTTGAGTTTACAGAGAGAATATTTTTTCGTTATCAAGAATGATGGTATTTGTCAGATGTTGCCAACACCAGGACATTTTTCTTGTGCCACTGATGTAACGGACATACTATCATTTAAATGAAAGTCCATCTCTAATTGGGTGGCCACATAAATGTGAAGTATGTTCACATATATAATTGAAGAAATGTAACAGTTTAGATTACAGCCAGCAAGTTTTTTCCATAAGGATTTTTAATTACTATATTCATTGCTGAGTATGAAGGCAGGAACAATGGCTAACAGTCTATTATCTAAATATTCTTAACAACAACATTTTTAAAATGAAGTACTTATCATTGAAGAGTGTTTTTAATTTTTTTTATGATATTGTTGTTGGTAGGAAACAAAGTATTAGGCTTAGCCGTGGATGAAGGGTGTGTCTTTATAGCTCTAACTGTAAAATAGTTTTATAGGTTACGTTAATGTGTTTAAATAGAGGTCTGGTAAATAACTTTCCATTGTTTACCCCCTATTCACTGTAATTACAGTTTTGTTTTGTTGTTTTTTTGTTGTTGTTTTTTGGGGTAGGAGGATTCAATGTCTGCTGGTACCCTGTTTTTCCATTGTAATTATTCAATATGTACAGCGAAATTTAAAAAGTTAATTTAAGTTAATTTTTATCTTCTAGGTCCCCCCTTAACCCAAATGTGTTACCCCCTTGTTTTCTTCTGTTTCAATTAAGACAGATAGCAATTGAAAAGAAGGCCTGTTTAGCATGTATTTAACCTCTAGTGACGTCAGTGCATCAGAAAAAAAAAAGATTTAGTATTTGAGAGTTACAGCATTATATATTTTTCCTTAGGGTATACAAAATGTCTTTAAATAATACTCAACATCCAGTATTTAATTTTTTTCTCCTCTCCTCTCCTCTCCTCTCAGGTAGCCCAGTATCTGAACCTGGAGCTTCCTATCCTGCAGCAGTTTCTGCTGAAACTCAAAGAGGAGGAGAACAGAGAAATACAGAGCGTCATTGGCAAGTCAGTATGTGATCTTATACTCCTGAAAACTTTCTTAAAGGATGCCATTAGTTTCATTTTCTTTAATAAGTCATGTCATCTTAAGGAGAATTGACATCTACAGAGTCATAATGAAATGTTAAATGCGTAAATGAAATAAACTCTGCAAGAAGTTTACTGAGAAAGCAAAGCCTTTGTTAAAGACCTGTGACCTGTGTCAGACATTACAGCCATAATATGAAACATCTTTATGCTCAATCATGTAGTTTGACAGTGTGCGGTTCACTACCCTCTTCTGCATGACTTCATTCAGCAGACACTTCATTTTAAAATGTTTAAATAACAAAATATTTTGATACTTACTCATGGTGTGTATGTGTGAATGTCTTTGTGTGTGTGTGTGTGTGTGTGTGTGTGTGTGTGTGCATGTGCCAGGTACCACCACCAGCACAGACTGCTATCCCATATGTTGAACTGTAAGACATCCCCTCACATTGAGACCAGTGTCTGATGACTGCCGATCTGAATCACTGACACAGGATCAGTTACAAGCAAAACTCATATTTAACTTCATAATTACAGTTAATGATGCAAAGGATGATTTTGGAACATACCACATGACAACACTACAGATGAACAACAAAGAAGTGACAAAATACATGGTACTTTCTCAAGTCTTACAAACTTAGTCACTTATATCAATTTTATTTGCTGTATTCCTTCATTTTTTTTAGAGTTTGTAAAATAAGCAAGATGCTACTGTAAATAACTGTAAATCAGTGTTGTGTGTTCATTAATAAATATGAGTTGTGGGACCAGCATGACCCCTTATGTTTTGTGCTTTATGTTTGTGGAGTGTACCGCAGGTATTTTTCAGACGTTAACTAATACTCAGTAAATTAATCTACATACATAAATGTATGAAATGATTAAGACAATTTGAATGGAAATAATTTAATTGACTACCAGCATGGGTACTTATTCCTTTAGGTTGGTGCCAATAGTGTCCCTTTTGCACCATAATAAATAAATACATAATAAAAGAAAGAAAACAATAAAATAGTAACTGTTAGATTATGGTAAATTTGAAAGTGTAACCCTGTTATTGAACTTATAATTTGGATATAATTTTGTTTGACTTTAGACATTGTCACTTTTCCCAGACTCTTGCGTTTTTATGACAGCAGGGGGCGACTCCACTGGTTGCAAAAGAAGTCAGATTGCATAGAAGTCTATCATAAAATGACCCTTTGTGCACTGTGACCAGCTCCACCATCTTGTCTTAACATGGTGGCAAGATGGCAACAGCCAAAATGCCAAACTCGAGCCTTCAAAGTGACTACAAACCAAAGGGTGATAACTATGTTTGCTTACCTGCTTTTTTATTTTTCCTTTTTTGCCTGCTTGCCTGCTCCCTTATGAATTTGTTTGCCTCTGATATTCTCCAAGGAGACCGGTAAAGGTTATTTTACCTTACCCGTTTCGTCCCTGAAATAGCTGTTGACCCAAACATCTACTACCAGAGCCTCACTGAGAGGCTGCTGCTCCATTCATTCATTACAAACTCACTTTCGGCAGCCCAACTTTGTTCCAAAGATACCAAAGATATCAGGCGGAGTGTTGGGGAAATGTGTCTAAAATTATCCACAAAACAGATTATTTATAGTTGTTCAAATGGAGCAGCCATAAAAAACAAGCTGATACACAATATGTATGATCGGTCAGACAGAGTGGAACAAGGAGATTTTTCCAACTCTGTGTATGTGTGTGTAAAACAGGAGACTGCTTACAAGTAGGAAACACTGTCATCCTAATAGTTAAATCATGGTGTGGTGTAGAGGGAGCATTTCTGCCTGGGCTGTTTAGTGGCAAAGACCTTTTAAACGCTTGCCAGCCCACCAGACAGCCTCACATTACCCAGCACACAGTATAATTTTCCTCTGATATGATGAATGACCAAATGGGAATTAATGGTAACTGGTTGTTTTATTGAAGGATAGAGTTTCAATGTGATGACCAAGGAACCCAAACTAGTATGCTCAGAAATGGAAAGAGCATGTGGCATGGTGTGGCTTTAACTTTTGAACTTCTGGCAGAGATCCACAGATGTTGGCTGGGTGATACCCATCTCAAAAGAAAATTCAGTCTCCATGCTTGGTCATTAAGTTTTTTACAGTTTTCACTTTTACCGAAGTGCTAAATAACCAAATAAAATTTATCTTTATCTATTGAGCTTTAAAACTGAGGAAGGGGGTTATTTTTATTGTTTGAAATATAGAAAATAATCTTCTCTGCTCAGTGAACAATTCCTACAATCAAGGTAATAAAAAGTATTATTGTAGGTCATTTGGAACCTTGAGAAACTTTTCATTCTTTCTTTTTTTAAATCTATACACGGAAAATATTAATACAACCTCCAACTTTTGGTTAGTTCCCATCAGGCAGGAGAAGCTACAGTTTCAATTTAAACCTTTGTGTGTAGATGAGCGCATTATGTACTGTTTATATTTTGTTTGTGACCACAGTGGATTAGGTCTTTTGTAACTGATCAACATCTCAGTCAAATGACTTCAGTAAAGAAGAGCAGCTTGTCCATCAAATGATCCAATGCATATACACGTACACACGCTTATCCTTTTGTTTAGGGGTCAATATATTGTCTTTACAGCAAGACTGTTTCTCCCTTTCTGGCTGTATAAAAGGAAAACTGCAACTTTTACAGTCACTGCTGGCTAGCAAAAACCTTTCCAAGCTTCTCCAAACAATCTTTGACGTGAGGAAGATGAACCTTCCTTTAGTCTGCTGTACTGGCCCTGCTGTTGGTCCTTTCAGCTGTTCCCCTTTAAATGTTAAAATGTTAAGAGAAAGTAAATAAAAAGTGATAACATCTTTGACAAACTGCAGATTGCTTCAAGCATCCAGAGCTGTGTACTCAAAGAAAACAATGACTTCAACTCATTTTTACTTATTTTGGGAAAGCCTCCTAAAAGGCCATTTATGGCTTTATGAGCCCATGGGCACGTTTAAATGATTCTAACTGCCAGGCACTAACAACACCACACCTCTCAAAAATATGCTTACAGCAAACAGTGCTTTTCAGCACACATGCTTCTGACTTGAGTCGTGAAATTAGACGGCAAACAACCCACACAATAACCACATAATAAAAGTAAAAATAATATACACAAGGGCATTAAATAAATGCATAAAAATTGAACTTGAACTTACCAAGTAGTCATGGTGGTACGTTCATTTGTACTGCTTGTTGTTCACTTTGTGTCTCTTGCAGGTGTGACCACATGAGGAAGCTAACTGATCTTTCTCACCACAGGTGTTCACAACACATCTCATTGCACAATGGGCTGTCATGTTTGGTAACTGAGTCGTCGAATTTTAGGTAGGTTAAATTTTTTAGTTAAAATTTAGCTTAAAATTTAGTTACATTTTAAGAGCCTTACCATTTAGACATAACCTCAGGTATTCTGGAGGCAAATAAAGGTATGCTTGATTTATTCAGGGAAAAATGCCAATAATGTGTCCTCACCTGCTCACATCGTACTGATATCTGTGCCAACCAGTATGTTCTACGTGTGAATTTGTGCATCAATTTACCTTGCTGCCCACGTATTGTGACTTATGAATTGACTTAGCTAGTTGTTAGCTACAAATAATATTCTTTAAATTAGTGTTTCCACAAAATAAAGTAAATGTTTTAAATTAAATTAACTTCCACCAGAATATGGTTGATGTTTGGAGTAATACAATACATGGGCACCATGGTAAATATATGCACAAATAAACAAGAACTTTTCGTCTGCATATTATTTTATTTTATTTTTTTCTCTTGGAATGCCTTCACATCAGCTTTCAGAGCATACACTATTTCCCCCATAGGAATGACATGTCTAATACTGATATCAGGATCAATGCAATGAGTATAAAAAAAATCAGTAAATACACCATTTAATCCATTGTCTTACATTCATTGAAATGCATTGAAATTTATTTTTGCATTGAAATTTATTTTTAAGGCCTTTCTACTTGAAAGGAAGGCATTTCTGGAGAGAGTTGGAGAAAAAGGTTCATAAAGGAGACATTCAAACTCATATCATGCATGCCATGGAAACCTTTCAGATATTATGGAGGATTTAAAGGCTTGAATTTTGAGAACAGATTAATGCTCTGAAGTCACAATGCAGGACGAACATGGGCTGGGTTATTTTTTATGACTAATCTCTTATCATTCTTTTCAGACATTTGAAAGAAACAAATTAATACAAATCTGCTTTCACAAGATACTGTATCTCCAAAACTTCATGAGTGGCAATTGTATGCAATCATATTATTGATTCAATTATATAGAAATACCACCAATTCAGTAAGTATTAATATCCAAATGAGCATGTCTTTTTTATCGGATTCAAATTATTAAGCCATATTATCAAGTGTCAGTATACAAAATAAAAATAAAAATAATTTTACAACATTTTCACAACATCAACAAAAATCAACATCTGCTGTTGGCCATTTTTTCCAAACTAATTTTGTTGAAACCACAATGTGTCGTTGTTATAAGTCTGTCATATCGTCTATCATTCCACACATCCACCGCTTAAAAAGCAGCTGCAAAACATTTATTCAGAAAGAAAAAGATTGTATCAAAATGTAACAAGGTAGTCAAAGCTATAAAGCTCAACTACAAAGAAGGAAGCTTCCTGCACCTGTGACCCTGCAGCTCATGTTTGTTGTTGATGGGGTTGAGAGTCACCTCAAAGTAGCACTTCACTTTCTGCGGAGGGGAAACAACAACAGGTATTACATAGCAATTAGGACAGCTCCTAAGTCTAACTTAATGGGAAAAGCAGTTGGCAATTTTCAGCTTTGGTATTGTGAAAGAATATAAAACAGAAAAGCATGAACGTAAATGTTGAGAGCAACACACGGAGCTAAGATAAGATAAGATAAGATATAACTTTATTAATCCTCTGTGGGGGAAATTTAAGAAGCTGAGGATGGGTGTGTCAAAGGAATTATTGCTGATTTGAATATAACTTTATAAACACATACAAACGCACACACACAACGGATTTACCTTTTTCTCAAAACTGCAGCTGTCCAAGGCATGGTTTTCAGTCTTGAGACATTTGGTTTTTCCCAGGACTGCATCAATCTTAAAGTTGATCATACGTGTCACCTAATAAGATGAGCGGACAAGAGGACAGAACTATTGGATGTTGTGACACTGCAATAAGATTACGTTGTGGTGACACAGTGTTTTGCATGTGCATTCCTTTTGTTTCTGAAAGATGAATCTAACCTGACTCTCAGCAGCTTTGATGGAGACCAGTTTGAACATCTTCTTGCTTTTGGAGTTTGTGTTGAACATCTTCACAGCATGCTTGGCTGCCATCTTAACATCGGCTGCCTCCGGACTCCTCTCAGACCAGCCACCCAGGAGAGGCACTTTTTCTATGAGAAAATGAAACACATACACAAGATAAATTTCACATAATTACATGATGGCTATTGGTGTGACGACAAAGATTAACATAATACAGTGAAACACACCCATTCGTACACATGAAGAGGTACATTATTGACCCTGTGCAATAAAAAGCGCACCCATACTTACAGAATGTACTCACAGGCACACACAATCAGTCTGCTGTTAAATGTTTTGGTTGTGTGTGTTCCCTTTGGGGTTTTTATGCTCCTTCATCCTGAAAATTTACTGTGTCAGTCCAGAACATCAGTCAAGGACTTGGAAACTGTAAGACCACCAAACCCTGGATTCAGCCAGTTTTACACAAACGCTTGTTTTACA